TATATATATATATATATATATATATATGTATATATATATGTATATATATATATATGTATATATATATGTATATATATATATATATATATATATATATTTATATATATATATATATATATATATATAATATATATCATATATATATATCATATATATATATATCATATATATATATATATATATATATATCATATATATATATCATATATATATATATCATATATATATATTATATATATATGTTTACGGTCAAAGCCCGAAGTGCGGCCAAAGCGCGGATTGGCCGGCCAATCCGCGGATTGGCCGGCTCTCTTGGCCAAAGCCCGAAGAACTTAGCATTAAGATCGTATTTTGTGCATTGGCCGGCCAATGCGCGGACTGGCCAGGACGTACTGGCCAAAGTCCGAAGCGCTTAAACTTGACAGCGTATTTTGTACATTGGCCGGCCAATGCGCGCACTGGCCGGCATGTCCTGGCCAATGTTCTATCTAGACTAAGTTGTGATCGCATTTTCATTATTCTGGTTGCGTTTTCATTGAGATCGTATTGTTTAGCTCTTGTTTGTATAGCATTCTATATGCAAGGCAACATGGATCAAAAGGGCCGTCAGACCATGAGACAGACATAGCAGATGGCTGTCAAAAGAAACAAATGTAAATCCATGTTAGTTTCCATATCAGGCTCCTCGATAAAATAGTTACTGAGGAAGATCTTGAGAACATTGAACAAGAAATGGAGGTTGCCATAATTGCAACGACATCCTCAGCTAACATATTTACTGCCGTGGCGGAACGTCCAGACCAGTTGCGTGACAATTATGTGGCCAACAGATTCTGTATAGTTTGTGAAAAACACTGTAGTGCAGCTCATTCTTGTGGATCCTGTGGCAACGATGTCCATGTTATGTGTGGGAATACCCAATGAAGCAGACGAAGGGTACGGAGGGAACATTATCTGCAGATTGTGTCACAACAAACAAGACATCATGGAACACAGATCAGCAGCTCATACTGGCTTGCAAAACTCGAGGTGCTAAGATGCTTAAAACATCAAATACAAAATTTAAAGATGGTGAAGTGGGTGACAATGTACGCATCCTTTTTCCAGATGTTAACAGAGGTCACGGTGATCCCCGAAGCGTGATTGCAGTTGTCATGAGCGTCGACATCGCTTTCTACAAGCTAGGAACGGAACGTAGTGTTCTAAAACAAATATATTCTAGAAGTGAGTTTTCAATTCTTCACGAAAAACTGCTCTTAAAGTCGTCAGTTGGCACTGAGGAAAAATCTCTACGTACCATCGCATCTTCACAATCATTGACTGGGGGCCAAGGCTACACTCGCTGCAATTGCACAACTAAGTGCACAACAAATCGCTTCAAGTGTAAAAATAACAAGCTGCTGTGTAATTCTAAATGCCATAAAAGTTCATCTTGTTGTAACAAATGATGATATTGATAGATTGAGACTATATTACAATAAAAACTTTGAATATTTCTGTCATTTACTTTTATTAATAATCAATAAAGACTTAATTTCATGATCCATACGGCATTTTAAAAAAAAATCTGCTCACGATCTTCTAATTCGGACTTTGGCCGGTCTTCCCTAGCCAGATGATCTTCTAATTAAGACTTTGGCCGGTCCACCATGGCCAGTCCGCGGACTGGCCGGCCAAAGGCCGAAATGAAGAGCTATTTCAGACTTTGGCCGGTCCACAATGGCCAGTCTGCGGATTAGCCGGCCAAAGACCGAAATCAAGCAAAGTTTCGGACTTTGACCGACCTATGGGAGGCGATATTGGCCAATGCGCGGATTGGCCGGCCAATCCTAGCATTGGCCGACTTCGGGCTTTGACCGTAACATATATATATATATATATATATATATATATCATATATATATATATATATATATATATATATATATATATATATATATATATATATATATATATATATATATATATATATATATATATATATATATATATATATATATATATCATATATATATATATGAACAACCAATAGCATAATGAATTGCATCGTTAACAAGTTAACTCCTCAATCTTTTACTTGTAACCTAGTATATTTCAAACAAACTCTTTTTATTAAATCAGTAAAAGAAAAGAAATACTCTCACTATAGCTAAGTTATATCAAATTGTAAACAATGATAATTATAGACAAGATGTAGGCTTGCTGAAAGAAAGAAATAGCCTACCTTAAATTGTCGGGGTTTTTTTGGTTTTTTTTTAAAGACGTGATTAGTTTGTTAAATAAATACTTCCACTATGGGTAAGTTATTTCAAATCGTAAACAATGATAATTATAGACAAGATGTAGGCTTGCTTAAAAAAATATATTGTGTTTTTTTAAAGACGCGTTTAGTTTGTTATTATTTATTCGAAGCCGTAACTAAAAGCAGTTACAGTATTAAGATAATATTAATACCCAAGGTCTACTGGTACTTATTTTGGTTATATTATTAGTATAAATTGCGCAATTGTTGTATTTTGAGTACTCATGGTATTTTAAAATCTAAAAGTTGGTCATAGCAACAAATAACCGCCAGTTTTTATTGTTATCAATGGAAATCACGTTTGAAAAAAATCAATTTAGTTCTAAAATGTGTATCTGCCTCTAGCTAATGAGGTTTCAAATTTTAAGCGAGAGAGAAGAGAGACTTAAAAGCCCTATTGCAATACTGTTGAATAGTTTCAATTGTTCTAATTAACATTCACGATTTAATTAGTGTCAATTCCCTCCCTTATCAGAATTCTTAACAACAAAGGGAAATAACACATCATAAGCTCCAAAGTATGAAACGAAATTTAATTTTAAATAAAAGTAACAAATACATGCAAAAACTTTAAAAATATTTTGTAGTAGTTTATATTATGTTACATAATTCTTTGTCAGTCTTTTACATTCTGATACATTTAGGATTCTCATTTTACTCTTTTCTTTCAATATAAGTTATAGTTTATCTACATTTAAAAATGTATAATTGTTTTTTACAATCTTATATCAACACTATAACCGGATAACAAATATTGTTTATCATTTGACTTTTTTTTTTCATATCACTCCCATCCGCATTGGGTTAATAGAAAATTTGTATAGCACAGGGGTCGGCAACCTGCGGCTCGCGAGGCCCGCATGCGACTCCTTTGCTGTCAAGATGCGGCTCTCCAGCTCCTTGCACAAATATTAATAGCTATATTATTTCTTCATCAAAACTCACACAAAAAAAACTATATACTGTAAAGAAACACAACTTTAAACAGAATAAAACACTCATCAGAGAACAGTGAGAGTAGGTGAGGTAGAAAGTAAATGGACAGCTGACAGCCGCTTGGGCACCAGGCCTAGCCCCACAGCCGCGCTATAGCCAGCCCCGTAGCGACAATTCAAGGCTTGCCACTGCCCAGGTGCCGACGTTTTTAATATCGTTAAATGGGGAATGTTATTTTATACATAATGCCTTTCTCTATCTGCTACTAATCATTTATTTGACCTGAGTGACCTAGATTTTTTTTTAGCTATAAGCTTCCTACGGTTTAGCCGGTACAAGACGGTGGGGTAAGAGTTTACCCTGCGTTCAGTGGGGTGGAAGATAAGCGTGGTGAGAACCAAAGGACAGAAGCGACCGATACACTGTTATCAAACCGATATCCAAGCCAGTTAGTCGCAGATTGAAGACAGATCCTGAAAGGTCATGTCGATAAAGAAAGAAAAAAAAGCTTCTAAAGTGGAAAAACACACACACACACACACACACACACACATATATATATATATATATATATATATATATATATATAGGCCTATATATATATATATATATATATATATATATATAGGCCTATATATATATATATATATATATATATATATATATATATATATTATATATATATATATATATATGTACCTGTTTTGTTAACTTCCGCTGTTTAGTTCGACATTATTTATTTTTTTAAAGTATCAACTTTCTTAAATATGTAAAGCGGAAGTTTATTTACTTACTGAAAAGAAGATATTTGTTGTTGTACATATACATGCCTGATAAAATGAATGAAAATTAAATTAAATTAAATTGTGCTGTTGTTGTGATTTTGTTCGTGCGATTCTCAACAAGGCCATGTAGTTGTTGTTCGTTTCTTTATACTTACAAGTCAAGTCATGATTTCAAGTCCACTTTATCTGAAGTAAAAACACGTTTACAATAGGAGGTGGAAAAAAGTTTGGAGATAAAAAAAAATGTTTAAACATGTGTCATGAAGGGAAATGTGTTTTAATAAATTCTCTACCTCGAGCTATTTAAATTTTAACTAAATTTGTGGTATTAATTATCATAAAGATGATTTTATAGATTTAACTTAACTGTTCAAAAAAGAAAAATCAACCCATGCCTTACCTGTCCAACCCATGCCTTACCTGTCCAACCCATGCCTTACCTGTCCAACCCATGCCTTACCTGTCCAACCCATTTCTTACCTGTCCAACCCATGCCTTACCTGTCCAACTCATGCCTTACCTGTCCAACCCATTTCTTACCTGTCCAACCTATGCCTTACCTGTCCAACCCATGCCTTACCTGTCCACCCCATTTCTTACCTGTCCAACACATGCCCTACCTGTCCAACTCATGCCCTACCTGTCCAACTCATGCCTTACCTGTCCAACCCATGCCTTACCTGTCCAACCTATGCCTTACCTGTCCAACCCATGCCTTACCTGTCCAACCCATTTCTTACCTGTCCAACCTATGCCTTACCTGTCCAACCCATTTCTTACCTGTCTAACCCATGCCTTACCTGTCTAACCCATGCCTTACCTGTCCAACCCATGCTTTACCTGTTCTTAATGCCGATCCAGGACTAACGTGTCCTCAGTGTCTATCCTTTGATTTACCTGTGCTCCGTGCTATTCATACGGCTTATACAAACGTAACTACCTCTCTCCACACCTGTAGGCTGATGATGCCAATTACCATGCTGGCACTGATGTCACCTGTCCCCTTCTTCCTCTCACCTGAGGAGCCGGAGAAGCTGATGGTGGCGCTGTCGCTGCTGCTGTCCTTCACCGTCTTCATCGACTTCATTGAGGGCAAACTGCCCCAGAACTCGGACAACATCTCGTTCCTTGGTGAGTGGGGGGAGGGGGGGGGGGTGGTGAGAGGTAGGCTGAGTGGGGGGTGGTGAGAGGTGGGGTGAGGGGGGAGGGGGGTGGTGAGAGGTGGGGTGAGAGGTGGGGTGAGTGGGGTGGGGATGGTGAGAGGTGGGGTGAGTGGTGGGGTGAGTGGGGTGGGGATGGTGAGAGGTGGGGTGAGTGGGGTGGGGATGGTGAGCGGTGGGGTGAGTGGGGTGGGGATGATGAGAGGTGGGGTGAGGGGGGAGGGGGGTGGTGAGAGGTGGGGTGAGTGGTCGGGTGAGTGGGGTGGGGATGGTGAGAGGTGGGGTGAGTGGTGGGGTGAGTGGGGTGGGGATGGTGAGAGGTGGGGTGAGTGGGGTGGGGATGGTGAGAGGTGGGGTGAGTGGTGGGGTGAGTGGGGGTGGGGGTGGTGAGAGGTGGGGTGAGTGGTGGGGTGAGTGGGGTGGGGATGGTGAGAGGTGGGGTGAGTGGTGGGGTGAGTGGGGTGGGGATGGTGAGAGGAGGGGTGAGTGGGGTGGGGATGGTGAGAGGTGGGGTGAGTGGTGGGGTGAGTGGGTTGGGGATGGTGAGAGGTGGGGTGAGGGGGGAGGGGGGTGGTGAGAGGTGGGGTGAGTGGTGGGGTGAGTGGGGTGGGGATGGTGAGAGGTGGGGTGAGTGGGGTGGGGATGGTGAGAGGTGGGGTGAGTGGGGTGGGGATGATGAGAGGTGGGGTGAGTGGGGTGGGGATGGTGAGAGGTGGGGTGAGTGGGGTGGGGATGGTGAGAGGTGGGGTGAGTGGGGTGGGGATGGTGAGAGGTGGGGTGAGTGGGGTGGGGATGGTGAGAGGTGGGGTGAGTGGGGGAGGTGGGGAGAAGGGGGGGTGAGAGGTGGGGTGAGGGGGGTGGTGGTGAGATATGGGGTGAGGGGGGTGGTGAGAGGTGAGGGGGGTGAAAATAATAGAGACACCGGGGAATTGGTGTATCTTGAAGAGGGATATTATGGTGTAGGAATAAAGTTGGCATTAGGGAATAGGTGTTTTATAGTAAAGGGTGAGGTGTTGTAGGAAAAATGGGGGGCACCAGGGATTTGGCGTTTTTTTGTTTGTTTTTTTTTTTTTGGTGATGGGTAGGGTGTTTTAGGAATAAAGTGGACACTAAATATGTCATGAATTTGTGCTGTTTCTTGGGTGAGACTATTTAACCAGATTTGTAAAAATATTTGTGATGGAGTGGTGTGAGAGAATTAAAAAAAACTGAGATGTATTGGAAATCAAATAAAGCTGTTCCAACATTTGTTTTTATCTATGAGAGGAAGGGAGATGAGAAAACGTCAGTCGTTGACCTTGTCAGACCCCAATTGTCACACCTCACTATCATATCCCCACTGTCACACCTCACTATCATAAACTCACCCCAGCTGTCATACCTCACTATCATACCTCACTATCATACCTCACTATCATACCCCCACCCCCAACTATCATACCTCACTATCAAACCCACACCCCCACTGTCACACCTACACCTCACTATCATATCCCCACTATCACACCTCACTATCATAAACTCACCCCAGCTGTCATACCTCACTATCATACCTCACTATCATACCTCACTATCATACCCCCACCCCCAACTATCATACCTCACTATCAAACCCACACCCCCACTGTCACACCTACACCTCACTATCATATCCCCACTATCACACCTCACTATCATACCTCACTATCATACCTCACTATCATACCTCACTATCATACCCCACTATCATACCCCACTATCATACCCACACCCACACCCCCACTGTCACACCTCACTATCATACCCCACTATCACACCCCCAGTTCACTCCACACTGGCACCCCCCATTCCTAACTATCACACCTTTTTTCCTCACTCTAACGTCCTTCCCCACTCCCTTGAATCACAACACTGCATCAGACTACCGCACATATACCCCACTCCCCCCACACTCACACACCTGTTATCGCCACACCTCCCCACCGCCTCTACCAATCAAACCTTCCCTCCTCAGTCATCTACCTGGCCGCCCTGTTCATCCAAGCCTTTCTCGGCGTCATCGGCAACACCATCGTCCTAATCCTCAACGCCCACGACACGCCGAAACCCAAGCCCAAGCCCATCAGGGGAGACCACGCACCAGCCCACACAACCACAGCCCACCACACCACCAATCTATCCGTGACGAAGAACTCCACACCAAACAACAGCGACTGCCTGGGATTCGAACCCCAGGAACAAACTACCCCCGGGGCTGCACCTTCTTCAAGAGCGTACAAGATGAACAAATGTTTCTTGGCTTTGAACACCACGGTGCTTCTGTTAAGCTCCTTCTTAGCGTGGTTCTTTATACTTTATTAGCTTTAAATAATTAACAATTAGGAAGGCAAATTTATAATTTATGCTGAATGTACATGGATATGGACCAAGTGATATATCATTCCATTTTCTTTGTTGCTTTTGTAATCTATAATAATAGTTTCGCTGTCTGTCTATCTATCTATCTATCTATCTATCTATCTATCTATCTATCTATCTATCTATCTATCTATCTATCTATCTATCTATCTATCTATCTATCTATCTATCTATCTATCTATCTATCTATCTATCTATCTATCTATCTATCTATCTATCTATCTATCTATCTATCTATCTATCTATCTATCTGTCAAGAACGCTCTAGAGAAAACACAAGGAAAATAAAAACATGCATAGTAATTCGAAAAACGAAGTATGACGTCGACACATTTAGCACAGAGTTGAAAATAATCTCAAACCAGAGAGTGCACACAGTAATATAATGACGTCATTGATTCTGGCGTAAACATTGAATAAAGAGGAAATGTTGTCTAATCTAAGTGGTTTGCGTGAAGAGTTTCTTGCATACAATTCTTCGGGTAGGGGCGAAGCCCCACCCCCCGCGTAAAAACGTCTGAGCCCCCCCCCCCCTCGGGGAGGGGGCGGACACTGGAAAAAGTATATAATTATATTTCGTTGAATGGGACGGTAGACATGTTTTTTTAGGGGGGTGGGGGGGGGGTGTGGGGTGTGGGGGGGGGGGGAGGTGGGGTGGTTTTAATTTAGACTTTTTCCTCCCCGGAGAGGGGTGGGGGTACTTGAAATTTTCGGTGGCGGGGGTAGAATTTTCGGGGAGGGGGCGGACACTGGAAAAAGTATATAATTATATTTCGTTGAATGGGACGGTAGACATGTTTTTTTTTGGGGGGGGGGGGGGGGGGGGTGGTGTGTGTGTGTGGGGGGGGGGGGTGGTGTGTGTGGGGGGTGGGGGTGGGGGGGTGGTTTTAGTTTAGACTTTTTCCTCCCCGGAGAGGGGTGGGGGGTACTTGAAATTTTCGGGGGCGGGGGTAGAATTTTCGGGGAGGGGGCGGACACTGGAAAAAGTATATAATTATATTTCGTTGAATGGGACGGTAGACATGTTTTTTTTTGGGGGGGGGGGGGGGGTGGTGTGTGTGTGTGGGGGGGGGGTGGTGTGTGTGGGGGGTGGGGGGGTGGTTTTAGTTTAGACTTTTTCCTCCCCGGAGAGGGGTGGGGGTACTTGAAATTTTCGGGGGCGGGGGGTAGAATTTTCGGGGAGGGGGCGGACACTGGAAAAAGTATATAATTATATTTCGTTGAATGGGACGGTATACATGTTTTTTGGGTTGTGGGGGGTGGGGGGTGTGGGGGGGGGGTGGGGGGGGGGTGTGTGTGTGGGTGGGGGGGTGGTGTGTGTGGGGGTGGGTGGGGGTGTGCGGGGGTGGGGTGGGGGTGTGTGGGGGGTGGTTTTAGTTTAGAGAAAAGAGACAGCACTATCAGCCTAGCGCCCGGTGTATCCTTCCTCAACGGGCCATTTTTCTCGTACCTCTATGTTATTCCATTTTCTTGATGTTGTATTTTTAATACCTCTATGTAGCAGTTTTAAAGCACACGTTTTTAATGTGGACCAGTATAGTCTACTTCAAGAAATAATTGTTTTGTAGTAATTTTTAATGAATTTTACTAAGTATTTTACTAACATCATGATATAGAGAAAGTTCACACAAAGACCTTAAAGATTAAAGTGTTTATGGCATATTATTATAATTTATACAACAGTTTAAAACAGGTCTAGATTAGACTGCTAAAACATTTTATAAACTTTAGTAGTGAGTACAGTTAACAGAACTATAATCGTGTGTAGTTGCTCACTGTTTGTGTACTTGTGTGTGCTTCTAATTTTTATATTTGGCATTATCATCTCATTGCCTTCATTCATTCCTGAACATGCTATCTCAATTTCATCACCTTCTTATCATTAACCTGATATTACAACGTCATCAATTAATTGTCATTTAGTTGACAATTTAGAAATAGTGTTGTACGACTTGGATGTGGGTGACATACAGGTGATTAAAAGAGTAGAAAGAACCAACTCTTCGTGCTTTTGGATAAGTAATTAACATTCTCCAATATTACAATAATATGTGCCTGGGGTGGTCTGGCGGTAGAGCCAGACTGCTTTAACCAGTGGTTCAAGTCAGTAATGGGACGGAGTGGTCTAGCGGTAGAGAGCTGGACTTCTAACCCGTAAGTCTCGAGTTCGAATCCGGGTTCAAGTCAGTAGACAGTCCCTGAGTCATCCAAACTCTGATGGGTGCCTAACTTACGTTAGGGAAAGTAAAAGCGGCTGGGCATAGTGCTGATCACACTATCTCTTCATATGCCGAGGTCACAGAAACAAGTGAACTTTATTTCACTTGTCCCATAGACCGTCAGGTTTGAAAACTGAACTTTTTCAAGTCAGTAGAATGTCTTTAAGTTCACCCAGGATCTCTGAAGCAGATGAGCTCTACTTCATATGTACCATAATGTCTTGGTCACGAACGGGAAAGATGATATAGCTATTACTAATAACAAATGCTGACAAGTATAGATTTTTTTTGTTAGATCAGTGATGTACGATTTACTATTTTGTCCTACTTTTCAAAACAAAACAAAACCTCTTACGGAAATCTATTATGTTGATTCAAAGCGATTTGATAAGAGTTTAATGAGCTTTATTTTTAAATACCTTTATATATGTGTGCATATAAGCGTCTATGTCTTGTAATATGTAAGCCGGTTTGTCTTTTGGGGATTTTTTTTTATTACAGGTAATTTCTTATGCACAATCTGTAGTATATTTGTTTACGATTGTTATCGATATTTCTAAACGCAAATGTTTAACGATGTTAGAGCACTTTTTTTAAATAACAGAAAAATAAACCAAGTTTTGAAGGTGCTGGATTATGAACTATGTGTAGTTTTTCTTTCATTATATAATGTTGATGTTGATGTGTAAGTGTATGGTGAGAATGTGTATGTTTTCTGTATGTGTGTGAGTGTGTGTGTGAGTCAAACGATTGTGAGAAATTGTAATAAAACAAGGCAATGTGACAAAATCTTTACTTCAATTAAGATTACACTTTAACTAAATCACAACCAGGAATTTTTAAAACATGTATTTGGAGCTGACACTTTGGGAGTTTTGTACGCCCCATCACTATACCGACCCATTTGGAGTCTTCCTGTTTTGCCCAGCAGAAGGGTGGCGGCGTGGTCGAGTCGGTAAAGTTCGAACCCTCGGGCAGATGAGGCTCGTTAGCTGGGGACAGCCGATTCTAGGAGAGACAACTCCAAAATCAAACAACTGCTGCCTTGTAATTAGTTCTTGGTTGGACAAAGGCTATGGAAGCTAATAAAAAAAAGCAGGCTGAAATCGCATGGCCTCAATGGCGCATAACAAGTTGACACGTATATGTAACCAGTGTTTCTTCCAGACTTTTTTCTCCGGGGGGGCACTTGAAATCTTCGGGGGGGGGGGGGGGGCGGTAAACTTTCTTCGGGGGGGGGGGGCGGACACTGTTAAAAGTATATATTTTCTATATAAATTATATAAATTTCATTTCGTTCGGGGGGGGGGGGCGGTAAAAAAAATTTCGGGGGGGGGGGGGGCTTTGCCCCCCCCCCCCCCCCCCCCGAAGAGATGCCTGGAAGAAACTCTGTATGTAACTGTGTTGGAGGGAATCTCTTTCAGCACTAAAAATAAGCATGCTGAAGAAGAAAAAGCCCCAGCTGAAGATTCAGAACGAACAACAGTCTCTCAGTGTCTTCCCCACAATGCTACTCAACAACGTTACAACAGTGTGATCGTTAACCAATAGGACAGTACAATGCATGGCTAAAACTTCATAATACTATTCGTTTAAAATAAGACCCTGTTCAAATGGGAACCGCTAAATAGGTTATATCCCATGATGGCGTCGCGTGGTCTGGTGGTAGAGCGCATAACTGCCAAACTGGATTTTTTTTTTCTCCGTGAAGGGGGGGGGGGGGTAAATTTCCGGCATGGCGGACATTGATTCGGCATGATTGGGTCGGCATGGTCGAGTCGGTAAAGCTCATGGTTGCTAAACCGAAAAGTCTCGAGTTCGCACCCTCGGGCGGATGAGGCTCGTTAGCTGGGGATAGCCACTCTTCTAGGAGAGACAACTCCAAAATTAAACAACTGCTGCCTTGTAGTTTGTTCTTGGTTGGACAAAGGCTATGGAAGCAAATCCAAACAGAAAAGCAGGCTGAAATCGGAGTCAATGGAGTCAATGGCCTCAATGGCGCATAACCAGTTGACACGTAACGCTTAATTGTGTTGGAGGCGTGGTCGAGTCGGCAAAAAGCTCATGGTTTATAAATTCGAACAAAGTCTCGAGTTCAAACCCACTGGCAGATAAATCTCGATCCCTTCCAACACTAATAATTAAGAACGAAGAAGAAAAAGAAGAAAGGACATTGATTTAATTTTATGTTTTATATAAACTGTTTTCTGTTTTGTTGGGGGGGGGGGGGAGGTTGACGTAAATGATGTATGAATAAATCTCGGCGAACCAGTCCCTGAGTCTACCGTCAGAGTTTCTTCCAGGCATCTCTTTTTTTTTTTTTTGGGGGGGGGGGGGTCTACTGCCCCCCCCCCTCCCAACGAAACGAAATTTATATAGAACATATATACTTTTTAACAGTGTCCGCCCCCCCCCCCCCCCGAAAAAAGTCTACCACCCCCCCCCCCCCCCTGAAAATTTCAAGTGCCCCCCCCCCCCCCCCCCCAGGAGAAAGTCTGGAAGAAACACTGTCTACCGGGCTCTAGTGAATAACTGATTAACATCATATATTCATTTCCCGTTCGCGCCCAAGACTTTTTAAAATAGAAAAGAATCTCATAGAAAAAATGCGCACTAAGTGAACAGCAAACAGTGTGTTTAATAGTGCGGAATACTAGCAGGCCTACTTTATAAATTCAAATGCCTTTTTTTAGAAATCACAAAAAGTCAAAAAGCGTAAATTACTACTTCCAGTCAACGGAATCTACTCAAAATTTGATAGAAGGCAGAGAATTAGATCTTTTACTTATATGTGAAATTTCGTTTAACTATCAGAAACAGTTCTTAAGTAATAGGACTTTGAAAAACCAAAATTGGAACCAGTTCCACTTCCGGTTACATGAAATTGCTGAAAAGTTGATACAGAACAAGAAATTAGATATAATACTTTAATATATTAAACTTCCTCAACCTAGCTGTAACGGTACTCAAGTTATCGTGTTCATAGACACACGACCACAATTGCGAAACTGTGTTTTTCCGACTCAAGGAGGTGTATAAGTATAACGTCGAAATTTGTGATACTTCCTTTATACTTCGTATACGAGAAAATAACATTAACAAGAAACTGATTCAAAATGGGACACATGTAGCCTACACTAAAGGATTTCGAATTGTAGGGACTAATGTTATTTGCTGTGGGGAGTATAGCTAAATAAAGCAATTAGTAAAAAAATAATTTTAAAATCAACACAGTTGATATTTTTATCATTATTTTATTTAAATTAATTTTAATTATCGTCCGTATAGTATATTATATTACCAGCATTACTTAAAATGTTAATTAGGTGTCGTCCATAAATGACGTCACACTCGTAGGGGGAGGGTGGTCCGTTATTGTGTGACGGTGTGTGATGAGGAAGGGGGGGGGGGGGGGGGTTCAGATGGTGCGACGTCACACTTTTCCATTATAAAAAAGCAATGTTAGAAAACGAATTTTAGCCGTTATTTCGCGTTTTAGAAAACTGTTTTAATAAATTGTAATAGGAATTTATTAAAATACTCAATGTTGATAGAGTTCAGACAAGATTTTGGAAAAAATATCCATCCATGTTTTAAGAAAAAATCAACTGCAATATTGAGGGGTGTTGTAGGCTGAGGTTTGGCGACGTATTAGAGAGGGGGGGGGGGGGTCTGGCTTTTTGTGACGATGTGTGACGCAGGGGAGGGGGGGGGGAGGTAAAATCGTCCAAAAAAGCGTGACGTCATTTGTGGGTGACCCCTTAGCATACATTCATTTTATCAAGTTGTCAAATAGCATACATTCATTTTATCAAGTTGTCAAATAGCATACATTCATTTTATCTAGTTGTCAAATAGCATACATTCATTTTATCTAGTCAAATAGCATACATTCATTTTATCTAGTTCTTAAACAGCATACATTCATTTTATTAAGTTGTTAAACAGCATACATTCAATTTATTAAGTTGTTAAATAGCATACATTCATTTTATCTAGTTAAATAGCATACATTCATTTTATCAAGTTGTTAAATAGCATAAATTCATTTTATCAAGTTGTGAAATAGCATACATTCATTTTATCTAGTTAAATAGCATACATTCATTTTATCTAGTTGTCAAATAGCAAACATTAATGTTATATAGTTGTTAAACAGCATACATTCATTTTATCTAGTTCTTAAACAGCATACATTCATTTTATTAAGTTGTTAAACAGCATACATTCAATTTATTAAGTTGTTAAATAGCATACATTCATTTTATCTAGTTAAATAGCATACATTCATTTTATCAAGTTGTTAAATAGCATAAATTCATTTTATCAAGTTGTGAAATAGCATACATTCATTTTATCTAGTTAAATAGCATACATTCATTTTATCTAGTTGTCAAATAGCAAACATTAATGTTATATAGTTGTTAAACAGCATACATTCATTTTATCTAGTTCTTAAACAGCATACATTCATTTTATTAAGTTGTTAAACAGCATACATTCAATTTATTAAGTTGTTAAATAGCATACATTCATTTTATCTAGTTAAATAGCATACATTCATTTTATCTAGTTGTCAAATAGCAAACATTAATGTTATATAGTTGTTAAACAGCATACATTCATTTTATCTAGTTCTTAAACAGCATACATTCATTTTATTAAGTTGTTAAATAGCATATATTCATTTTATCAAGTTTTTACTTACAATAAAGTATAAAGCCTAAAAAACACTGAGAACAAAAACCTTTTTATTTACTTATGCAGCCAAAAAAAAAACATACACACTCTTTACCCAATTTAATCCTAATGAACATAAATATGTATTTTTAATAGTTTGGTTATTATCAGAAAAATAGCATTATATCTTTTACAATTAAAATCTTTTAATCACTTTATCATCTACTATTAATTTGTAGTATTTTGTTCCATTACTTTTATAACTCCTTTATTAGAAATCATCCTTTTATCCCAATTTACTACTGACTAAAAGCAAAGATTTGGCGACAAGTTGATTATACTACACCCATTACCTCAGTTTAAAATATTGATCCAAGAAAATGTAATAAGAAAAATAGTTTAGCTAAAGAACAAATTGGCCAAATACAATGGAATTATTATGATGTGTAACTAAACAAAAAAAATTTTCAGTACTTGATTCTGTCGCTCAAGTATTTTAGGTCTAGTCTCTGATGCACGCTTCTATACCAAATGTATTAACAGATGTCTTGTTAAGGACGATCTGTAAGTAAAAGTTCTGTTACACAAACAGCATATTCCAATTTTCTCCTTTGAATGCACAAGCTGATGTCCTTTTAAATGATGTTTCAACTTAAAAGTCGCACCACAAATATTGCAAACAAATGGCCTCGTCCCTGTATGCACAACTTGATGTTTATATAGACCAGACAGAGAACTGAATGATTTGGAGCAAACAGTGCAAGTAGGCCTATTACTATTAGTAAATATCTTCTCTAGATGAGTGAAGCTATGCTGCTCCAAAGCTCCATTACCAGTAAAACATTTATTACAAGCTTTACAACTAAAAGAATTGTCTTTACCTTCTATATGGCTAATGAGATGATCTTCTATTGTAGATTTGTAGCCAAAAGTTCTGTTACACAAAATACATCTGACGGGTTTTATTATACTATGAGTATACTGATGACGTTTTAAATGATAATTTGTTGCAAAAGTTTTTGTACAAAGCCTGCAAGAATAAGGCTTCCCCTTTTCATGTAAATGCTGATGCCGTCGAAAACTTGTACGATTAACAAAAGTTTTACTACAAAAACTGCAAGAGAATGTTTGATCTTGTGCATGGCTAGCTTGGTGAACAAGCAAAGAACACTTAAAAGAAAACGATTTGAGACAAACATTGCAGGTGAATGGTTTCTCATGTGTATGCACTACCTGATGTGTTTTAAAACGACGCCTGGTAGTAAAAGATTTATGGCAAACAGGACATACAAATAAATCTCTAGACAGTGAATGTGTAAGACTGTGCTCACTGCAATGATGTTTAGTTAGAAATGTTTTGCTGCAAACACTGCATGAAAATGACTTAATCCCTGTATGCATTTGTAAGTGCCTAGTTAAATTAGATTTGTTGTTAAAAGTTTTTTTACACATGTCACAAGAAAATAAACACTTGGGTTTTGGCATAATGCAATTTTTAGACTTGTCTTGAAAAGAGAACTTTCTATTAAATTTCTTTTAAAGATGTGTTGGATATTTATCCTCTAGATTAATTAACAAGTGCTTGTAAGTTTGTGGTATTATCCTTAGAGAATGATTACACATGACACAATGATACTTTCAGATGTTTTTGTGTATGTGAAACTGTTATTATTAAGCACATGGTTATATAGACCATGCACCATTTGATATATTGTTATTCAACAAATCTAAAAAAAAAACACATTTGAATCTCCATGAAAATTGACTGGTTTTTTTAATGACTTGTAAGTTGTATAACATTGGACTGTAGAATCACATTCGGTGGACTGAGATTTAACTTGGAATGTTTACATCAAACAAAAAGCCTTCACTGCTGAATGGAAGGAGATTTGTACAGGAATTATATAACTAGTCAGCTCCAAATGGCACTATTTTGAGAAAGAAAAATGTATTAAGTTAATATTACACATTTTAACTAAAAGCTACAATACATATATTAGAATTATGGTATATGACTATTCACAAAAGAAATTAATAAATTTGGAGTTTTGCAAAACTTGTAATGGATATACATAGCAAGGGAGAATAGGTTAAATTTAAAAAATTCGGCCTAATGAGAAAAGTAGTCTAGATGGCTTAGTTACTACAACTAGTGCTAGAAACTAGAGCTAGTATTAGCAGTAAGTCATTTATTAGATTGTAGGAAAAAAAGTCACAGGAAAAAGTCACAAATATATATTTGCATGGGATTTGTTAATACTCGTGTGTATTAAATATTCAGAAAATGCAAATCAACTTACGATTAATTAAATATAATGAAATGTGCGAAGGTTGTATGCGTATAGTTATATTTATAACACACGAAAATATTTAGTGTGAAGTATTTACGTTTTAATTCCTTTATACATATGATATTTAATACAATTTAATAAAATGTTCAAACCTTCTCTTTTTTTATAGTGTTTGTTAAAACAAACTTTAAATTAGCGCAAAATGGCATAAAAACGTAGTTCATGTGAATTGCCACCAGTGTTTCTTCCAGACTTTTTTCTCCGGGGGGGCACTTGAAATCTTCGGGGGGGCGGTAAACTTTCTTCGGGGGGGCGGACACTGTTAAAAGTATATATTTTCTATATAAATTATATAAATTTCATTTCGTTCGGGGGGGCGGTAAAAAATTTTCGGGGGGGCTTTGCCCCCCCGAAGAGATGCCTGGAAGAAACTCTGATTGCCACCCTGAACTCATGGCCAAAATAGGTCAACCACCTGTACTGCCCACGTTTATCACGCTCATTACATAACAAAACAAAAGATCAAAACAGAAAACCGACTCCGTACAAAGGTTGTCATTGAGGCAAAACGTCAACAACAAGCAATATGGTCGGACGAGGAGAAGCCGACCAAGGAATGACCAACGGCAAAAACAAATATGCAAAGCACAATGATGTGCCAAAATTTCTTTTGTAATTAATTTTTCTACCGCGTATTAATATGTAACTTCTTCTTCTTCTTCGTTCTTAATTTTTGAATATGGTGGAGGATTCAGACAACAAGTCCAACTTCATGGACAAACCGGACTGTGGTTTCCAGTTTGTCAGGTGTCCCATATAATTTTTCCCTGAGTGGGGTGGGCTGGGGCCAGTGTCTGCCTCTTGCCTGGCTATACAGAGTACAATCCTGGAGTACGTGCTCCGTGTTTTCCGGGGCCTTGCCACAAGGGCACATTTCGCTACACCCAACCTTCAGTTTTTTGTGCATGTGTTGATTTAGTCTGTTGTGGCCTGTTCTAAGTCGAAAGATTATGTATTGTTGTTTTCGTGTTAAATTGTAATAGCCGTCGTCTTTAATGTAGTGAGGGTGTGTGACAGACCACATTTGCGTTTGTTTGTGTTTAATTATTCTTTTTATTTCTTTTGGGTGTAGCGAAATTTCCGGTTGTGGTTTCTTTCCCCCAATTTTTGCCAGCTGGTCTGCGATCTCGTTACCCTGGATCTGGCAGTGGCCCGGGATCCACTGCAGCACAATTCTGCTGCAGGTATTTTTTAGCCTCTCTAGTGCTGTCATGAGTGTTTGAATATAGGACTCCGGATTTTGTAGGGATTGCAGGACTGATTTGGCATCTGTAAGAAATACAATCTGACTATTCGGTGATTCAGGGTGTTCTGACAGGAGGTTTGCTGCGTGTTCTAAAGCTTCTTTTTCTGCCCTGAAATTGTCGGATAGGCTGCCTGTGGCTATTGCCTTTTCCAGGCTTTTTCCGCTTGGCCATTCAATAAGGATGCCAGCCCCGCCGTTTTTTGTGGCATCTTCAGCTGAGCCATCTGTGAAAACTCTAATCCAGGTATTGCTGGGGTACTGATCCTTAATGTGTTTATTTGTTATTTTCTTAAGTTCTTCTAGATCATAGTCAGATTTTTTTCCTATGGTGTCTATTGAGTCAATAATGGTTAAGTGACAGTGGGAGATCCAAGGCGGGGAGAGGTTTTGAGTTTTTATTGCTTCAGGAATGATATTTTCGATTTCATATTTCTTTTTCAGATTCTTTGCTTCTTTGATGAAACTTGTTCTTTGTAGACTGGTTGATGGACTGGGTTTCTGGAGTTTTTGTTTTAGGTTATGGTTTTCCAGTGCCTCTAGCTTTGTGTAATGAGTGAGGATTTTTGATTCTCTTCTTTCTTCTATTGAGCTAAGAGCGGCTATTTCCTCCATAGCTTTTATGGGTGTTGTTTTCATGGCTCCTGTCATTATTCTCAAACCAATGTTCTGAACTTTGTCAATTTTGCTAATATTTGTTTTTGCTGCTGAGCCCCAAGCCGAAGCACCATATTCTAACGTAGGTCTCACATAGCTGGTGTAGGTTTTTTTCAGGATGTGGTGATTTGCTCCCCAGTCTGTTCCTGCCAGTTTCCTCATTAGATTAAGTCTTTTGATCCCATTACTTTGTGTGTTTTCTATTTGTTTTCTCCAGGTAAGTCGAGTGTCAAAAGTGACTCCTAGGTATTTGGGGTGGTCATTTTTTTCTAGCTCTTGGTTTTCTAGGGTAAGTTTCATTTTTTGATGTTTAGTTGATAAGGTGAAGATTGAGTAAGTTGTTTTCTTGGTATTGATGGATAAGCCCCAGTTTTTGGTCCATTTGCCGAGCTTGTCAAGTGTTTCTTGAAGACGAAATTTTGAGGTACCAATATATTCCTCTGTGCTGATTAGTGAAAGGTCGTCTGCAAACATGCTTCTTTTTACTCTCCTTGGTATGTTTTCATTTAAGTCATTTATATAAATGAGGAAGAGAGTAGGAGACAAGACTCCTCCTTGAGGGACTCCATTTTTTATAGTTACTGTGTGACTTCTTTTTCCTTGCATGGAGACTGATGCTTTTCGGTTGCTTAGGTAACCTTTTATCCAGTTTAGCATGTTATGAGATACTTGATGGTTTATTAGCTTTAGAATTAAGCCTTGCTCCCAAACCTTGTCAAAGGCTTTTTCAAAGTCGACCCACACTATTGAGGTTGTTTTTTTTTCTTGAAAGCCATCTTATATTTCCTGAGAAATGAAGGTGATTTGGTCTTCAGTAGATCTGCACTTCCTGAAGCCTGCCTGTTCGTCTGCTAGTAGATTGTTCGATTCTAGAAACCAGGTCAGTCTGTTGTTTACTACTCTTTCCATCAGTTTACAAACGCAGCTTGTTAAACTTATTGGGCGATAGCTATCGACTTTGTTCCTGGGTTTTCCTATTTTTAGAACAGGTATCATGATTGCTTTTTTCCAAATATTTGGGATTTTCCCAGATTTCCAGCTTGCATTAAATATTTGGAGCAGTTTTTTCTTAGCATTGGGGCCCAAGTGCATGAGCATATCATTTGAGATTTTGTCAGGGCCTGGAGCTTGCTTAAGTTTGAGGAGCTTCATTGCTTCTCCGAGCTCCTTCTTGCTAATTCGAGCTACCATTCCAGTGGAGGAGGGGGGAGAGACTTTCTGTAGTTTTTCTTTAACTTCAGTTTGATTTTTAACCTCTTCTACTCTTTGGTGGCTGATATTTATTTGTCCCACTTTGCTGAAGTGGGTTATAAATTCTTTTGCTGCATCCTTTTCTGTTTTGATCGTGTTTTCAATGTCGATGACTATGGGAGTAGCTCTGTTTTCTTCTTGGTTTAGCCTTTTTGCAATACTCCATAGTTTGTGACCATCTCTATCTACATTGAGGTGTTCTGTTTTTTCTTGCCAGCTTTTCCTCAATGCAGTTAGATACTTTTTTCTAAAGACTGCGTTTGCTGATTTTAATTTTATGTTATTTTCTACAGTGGGATTTTCTTCAACAATGTTTCTAGCATCAATTGTCTCGTCATGGAGTGTCTGGAGTCCAGTTTGGGATATAATTTTTCCTTGCTCCCCTTGGAATAGATTTTTTGGCTGCTAACAGAACTGCTTTTGAGAAGGCTGTGTATGACTTGTTCACCTGTTTGGTTTTACAGTTGATTGGTCTTGTGTAGGAGTCTGTGAGGGAAGAGAAGAGCTCCCAATTAGCTTTTTTGTAGTTCCATCTAGGGCGGGGGTAGGCTTCAATTGGCCTGTTTGATGTTTCTATCTGGATCAGGATTGGTCGGTGGTCGCTAGTGGCTAGTTGATCTGCAACTTCTCTTTTGCATTTTTTGGATATGCCATTAGTAGCAAAAGCTAGGTCGGGGGTAGTCGTGGTTAACCAAGACCTTGAGTAAAAAGTTGGTTTATCATCAGGTTTATTTAGAAGGATGAGCCTATTTTCTGCTTGCCATTCTTCAATTTCCTCTCCTTTAGCATTGAGGTCAGGGTAACCCCAGCTCTGGGAGTGGCTGTTCATGTCTCCCACAACCAGGCACTCTTCGCTGTTTGGCAGGGAGATGCGGTCCAGTTCCAGGTCCTTATCAGGAGGACAGTAGCAATTGAAGATATTTAGGTTACCTTCTGCAAGTATGAGTTTGGTGCCCATTATCTCAGATGCTGTTGAGTTTGGTATAACGATATCTGTTGTTGGAATGTCATTTTTTATGAGAATGAGGATACCTCCTTTAGGTCTGTTTTCCCTGTCCTGCCTTATGCAGGTGTATCCTCTAATAGAGAAGCGAAGATTGTTGTTGAGGTGAGTTTCTTGAATACAAGCAACGTCTACTTTATTTTCATGTAGGAATATTTTTAAGGCTTCCTTTTTTTTATGAACTCCCTCTGCATTCCACTGCAGGATAACAAGTAATTTGTTGTTTTCCTCACTATTTTGGCCAGTAGAATTTACCTTCTGATCCTTGCCCCTGGCTGTCCAGGCAAGAATAGAGGAACCACCAGCTCGCTTTTGTGGGCTCCTTCGAGGCGGAGAGCCCGGCCCCCTACCTGCATATATGTAACAAAATTTGAGGTTTTTAAGTAAATTGCGTCATATTATTTTACGTATTATTGTTATAAATCATAATGCTCTTACGTTTGTAAAATGCTACTAAAACAAAAACAACCCACACCAATAAACACCCACAATTTTACAGTTCTTAACAATTAAATCAAAGTATTTCTTTTTAAAAAAATTGTGACTTTTTTCTGTGATTTTTTTCCCAATAAAATGTTTCATTTGTGACTTTTTTCGGTGACTTTTTTTCCTAGCAAAACCTGTGACTTTTTATCTGCGTTTTTTTTCCTGTGACTTTATTTCCGTACACCATTTATAATAGTAATAGATAGGCCTATATACTATATTATATTAGTTATATAGTACATAGGCCCAGCACAGTGGTTCTTAAAATTTTTGGACATACCAAACACCACTAGTTTCATATATGCATTCACCACACCCTTCCTTATAATTCTATCGTCCCCACTGACAAAATCAGATTGTGAATCATATGAATCAGGTGTGTCTTGACCTCCACTGAACCCATGAGACAGACTGAACCCCAGGGGATGGATTGAACTCAGGTTAAAACGCAATGCACTAGTGTGTGTGTGTATATATATAAGTGCGTTTTAGGTGCGTAAAATTGGCCAAGGCTAGTAATGTGAAAAAAGTTCCATTATTTTAAGGCTTTAATAAAAGTATATTTTGATATAGCCTATTTGTGTCAAATATTATAGATAACTGAATAATAAAACAAAATCAATAGCTAAATATATCCATATAGGCCTGAAATTAACTTTAAACAGCATTGTTTGCGGGCAAGATTTACTATATAAACAGCGGCCATCTGTAAATTAGCATGGTTTCCCCTGAATCTCAAACTATAATTTTACCAAAAAAAACTTAAACAAGATGGCTGCTAAAGTAAATGAGCTTGGTTGTCTCTTATGAAAACATCACTAGTCTTTATTTATCACTGAAAAGTTTTAGGCTAATACAATTGTTTAAAAACAGGTACATGAATGAAACTTTGAAACATTTGATTTTTGTAACTTTTAAAAATGTGAAATAGGCTTATTACTAAAATTTAATGAGTCACCTTTTTTCACATTACTTATTACTAGATCTAGTCTCAGACAATTTTACATACCTAAAAAAATAGATTACAATTTTTTTTTATTTGTGAGATTACCTAGATTTCTAGATCTAAATTAATAATCAAATCATCACAAAGTCAAATTTGTCCGAAAATGATAATAATTAGCTAAATTCAAAATTCATCAAATTATCCTAAATAAATAGGCCCCTACTATTAAATACTATTTTACTATTCCACTCACTGCCAGGAAAAATTGAAGGAGTATAATTCCTTCAATTTGTCAGGTTCAAGATTTTGTTATCATTTAAATAGATCTAGATTCTAGACTTGATCTGGATTATTAAAAAGGTAATCTATAGTTTTAGGTACGTAAAAATCGCCCACGGCTAGTAATGTACCAAAAAGGTACCTCATTGTCAAGGCTTTAGAAGTATAGTGTGATATATTTGTGTCAAATATTATAAATAAATGAATAATAAACCTAAATCAATGGCTAAATATATCAATATAGGCAAGAAATTAACTTTAAACAGCAGTGTTTGCGAACAGGATTTGCTATATATAAAAAGCGGCCATCTGTAAGTTAGAGAGACTTCCCCTGAATCTCGCGCTATAAGTTTATAAAAAAAAACTTCAACAAGATGGCTGCTATAGTTAATGAGCAATGTTGCATCTGTTGGAAACATCGCTAGTTTTCATTTATTACTGAAAAGTTTTAATTCAATTGTTTAAAAACAGGTACATAAATGAAACAGGGAAACATTTTTGTATTTTTCAAAACATAAATCCTCCTCAAAACGTGAAATAATTATTAAAATTTAAGGAGTCACCTGTTTTTCACATTACTAGTCGCGGGCGATTTTACGTACCTAAAATGATAGATTACCATTAAAAATTATATTATATTAGGCCAGGTCCTAGGTAAGTGCCTAGGCCTATTACCTATTACTATTATAATTATATTATTAAAAATGATTCATTAGGCCTACGAATTAGTCTAGGGTAAAACTCCATTTTAGCGTATTTTATTCTCTGTTGCTTGTTTACCTCCAGTTGAGCGTATTTTATTATAATAACCGAAACACACCAAAACATTAGGAAAAAACGATTTATTTAGGCTATTTGTATTGTATTTTTGTTTTAACAAATGAATAAAAATCAACAAAAATCAAAGAGACTGACTTTGTTTTAGATTTTGATAATTTACTTTTGTCAAAACTTAAAAAAATCCAAATTTAGAATATTGAATGTGCTAGATCTATGTTCGTGTGTCAGTTAGAATTTTTAAGGCAATGGGTGAAGTACGTACTCACAATTGCAAGGCGGTTAAGTTTGTATTGTTACAAGTATCTCCCAGGCATGATACTACTACTAGACTATAAATAAACATTTATTTATGAACTTGCAATGATGCCAAAACTGAGGCCAACACAATTTCAAACAGCTATGGTCCGAGCTATGACGTATGCCGATACATACAATTAAAGTCAATGTGAACTTACTGTGAATCCTCGACCGTGTAAGGATTTTTCTCCCGCTGACGATCACACGATATTTAATTGGAACAGTTCTAATGCTTTTTTATGTGTTTTTTTACATTTTCTAATCAAAAACCACATTCATAAAAAAATAAGTAGATCTAGTGTTTTCCTAACGTTTTTGTGTGTTTTGGTTGTGTTTATAATTTTAAGTTTATAATAATTTAATAATAAAATAAAAAATACGCTCAACTGGAGGTGAACGTGAAGCGGGGGAATAAAATACGCTAAAAAATACTTTAAAAAATGGCTAAAAATGGAGTTTTACCTTAGTCTAGTTAACTGTTTTTACCGTAGTCAAAGTTAGGAATTAAAATCGTGCATGTAGTTTTTACTTAGCACTAGAATCTAGATCTACTAAAATGAAAGTTTAAATTTCCTGCGTAAGCTACTGAAAAATTACTTCCTGACTTCCTCAACTTACTGCAATGATAAACATGCATAGGGTCGCCTAGTTTACGAAAACTCGCAATATATTAAAAAAATTTCATTCATCCATTAGTTTACTAATAAATAACAATTGCAGGAGTACAACATTTCTCTACACCACCCATGCCTCTTATTATAAAATATCAGAAAATGAAAATTCACCACCCTAATCCCTATTGACTTAAATTCTAATAAAGGTATTCCATAGGCTACATAAAATAGCGACCCACTCTTTTCTTTTTAGTTATTTGGTTAGTAATTCATTGAAATTTAAAGAAAATCATTTATTTTCTCATTTTAGCGCATTATTACACAAATGCTTGTTATTAAAAACGTTTTTTGTGCATTTTTTACAAGCTTTTATTTAATTTGCTCCCTTTGTGGTGCTTTTGTCTTAAGTTCTTAATGTTAATATTAGAGGGGATTTCTTCAATTTAAGAAATTAAAGTTATGCGTCATATCTGGATTTGCTCCCATATATTTTGTCCACTCAACAACAATATGCATCAGCTTTTGGAGTTTCCTCTCCTGGGGTCCGCTCTCGAAACTTTTTGGGTCAGTAGTCATGAGTAATCATCCATAAATGACGTCACGCAGTGGCGTAGCGAGGTCGGGTGTCACCCGGTGCGGCACTTAATGGTGTCACACCCCCCCCAGAGGCGTAGCGACCTTTCCCGGCGCCCGGGGACAAACTTTCAATTTTCGATTTGCACACCCCCCCCCCCCTCCACCGTTGTCGGGATTTGTCAAATTTCCTCTTTAAAAACTATTTAACACTCGAATTAGTCACTTAATTAAGTGGAATTATCATTTTTCTCTATATATTTTGCTATTTTTTGCCTTGGTGTCACCTCCCCCCTAAATGGTGTCACCCAGTGCGGTCCGCACTCCCCGCTTTGCCACCGACGTCAAGCTTTTCTGGAGATTTTTAAACACCCCCCCTCCCTAGGGACTTCACACGTTAGTCTACAACGCCCCCCCCCCCCCTCAAATTTGCAGTTGAATTTTTCTTGATATCATCGATATTTTTCTAAAATCTTGCTTGAACTCTGTCAACAGAGTATTTTAATTAATTTCTAGTTTGTTTGTTTTTTTAGTTCTAAACGAACATAGAATGTGAAAAGCTTGTCTTTAAAATGTCTGTCACAATTTTTTATATAATAACTTAATAACTCTTACTTGTAAAAGATTTGTAAAAAAAAAATCTTTTTGGTAGAGTAGAAGTGCTTTTGTTTTTTTTTCCTCTGTAACTGTAACTAAAAGTTCTGTTGCACAAAGTACAAATGAAAGTTTCTATTTCTTTATGGGTATGCCAGCAACCTTTTAAATAGATATTTAAAAGTTAAAGCCTTATTACAAATACTGCAAGAGTTAGGTTTTCCCTTTTCATACAGAGGCTTAGCTCATGTTGGTGAAAATAGTGCTGATTCATAAACATTTTGCAACAACATTACTCATTAGCAAGACATTACTTTTGCACTTGGAATTACCCTCAAAGCAAAAATTATTACAAATTAACAAACACTGCAAGATAATGTGCTCCTGTATGGACTACTTGGTGTGGTTTGAAGCTATGTTTGCAGAAAAATGTTTTATTATAAAAAAGAATTTCAAGCAAAAATGCCATGTGTAACTGAAAACATCAGTTGATGCTCAGCTAAATCTTCTTCTTCTTCTTCGTTCTTAATTATTAGTGTTGAAGGGGATCGAGATTTATCTGCCAGTGGGTTTGTTCGAATTTATCAACCATGAGCTTTTTGCAGACTCGACCACGCCTCCAACACAATTAAGCGTTACGTGTCAACTGGTTATGCGCCATTGAGGCCAATGACTCCGATTTCAGCCTGCTTTTCTTTTTGGATTTGCTTCCATAGCCTTTGTCCAACCAAGAACAAACTACAAGGCAGCAGTTGTTTAATTTTGGAGTTGTCTCTCCTAGAAGAGTGGCTGTACCCAGCTAACGAGCCTCATCTGCCCGAGGGTTCGAACTCAAGACTTTTCGGTTTAGCAACCATGAGCTTTACCGACTCGACCACGCCGACCCGCTCAGCTAAATAACTTCTAGCATCAAAACTTTTACTATAAATACTACTATTTAATTTAACTGCAAGTTAATAAATTCTGTCCTGTGTGAATGAAAAAGTGATTTTTCAAATAGCTATGTCAAGGAAAAGCTTGTCCATTTAATCTTTGTTCTTACTTGTAATTTTGAAAAAAATTTCCTCCAACATAAATAGTGAATTTTTTTTAGATTACTTGCCTTGTATTTCTTTAGATACTATTATTTAAGTTATAAAATTTTAATATTTTTTTACTTCAAATATTGAAACAGTTTTCTGGTACAATACTTGACCAATCTTGATTCTACTTCTTTGGTCTAAAGCACTAGTACTAGTATACCACATCAAAATAACATTCTCTCTGGACATCAAAACAACTCAATATCAACTTCACAAAACAATATTTGAATATCTAAAATCTCCTTTAAGTTCTATTTTTTCCATCATAGAATTTAAGTTGAAACTAATGACTGTGAATACCTAGTATTTTGACATTTATTTAACACAATTAAGAACCCACTCAGTCAAAATTCTATCAAATAAAACTTTATTAAATTGTTGGTAAAAATGAACATTATGCCAACTGCTTCTTTAATTCAGTTTGTCAATGTTTGTATTAACACTTCTTTAATAATTCAGCTCTTTTAATTCCTCTTCTGTGAACATCTGAGCCATTTTCAATTTGATCATTATTTGTCCTCTGGTTGAAAGCTTTTTAAAAAACTCTGCATACCCTAAGAAAAAATAATCCACTCTGTCTAAATCTGATTTTATTTCTTCAGATGAAACAGATGTATCAGAGTCAAAAGATACTTTTCTTTTTTTCTTGAGCCCATTGTGCTGTGAGGACCTAGCCTTGTCTTTGGTAGATGATGTGGGATATATTTCTGTTTTAATAGAAAGCTCAGGAGATGGAGGAGTGTTGGATTCGCATGACATTACGAAAGGTTCTGATTTGTTGGATTCACACGACATTACGAAAGTTTCTGATTTGTTCGATTCACATGACATTTCAAATGGCTCTGATTTGTTGGATTCACATGACATGACTAATGGTTCTGATTTGACCATTTCATCACCAGAAACAGAATCGACATTGTCATTTGTGACAGAGCTGCTAGATGTACCAAAATGTGGACGCATGAACTCCATATGATCCATCCACTTCCATTTAGACTGACCAGGTTTAGAATACTGACCCTTTATACTTCTAGCATAAGTATCTCGGAGGTTTTTCCACTTTCTTCTGATCTCTTCACCTGTCAAAAGAATGACATGATCATTTGGTTAATAGATCTATATTAATATGTTTTTATGTGTACAAAGTTAATTTAGTTATTTTAAAAGTGCATTTCATAAAAAAGTTAATCAAATCTACTTTCAATTTTTGAGCTCTATTTGTGAAATATTCTGAAATATTCAAGTCCTTCTACCTGTATAAATCTTAAAAAAGTCTCTATGTACATTTTTACACATATAAACACCTGAATTGCCTCTAGTTACTGATCCCAAAATGACCATTTACGTCATACATAGTTAATTTGTAATTTAACATTCCTTTTTACCCAATTAAAAAAAAATTTAATATAGCATATTTTTGTAGGATTCCATGACAGTAAGTTTTAGCCAAGTTATCCAAGGTCACTGTATTAGGGGTTTCGTCTGCTTATTTTAACAAATGGATATGTGAATTTAGGAACTGCTAATCAAACGGTCTGGAGTTCAAATACAGGCTTGGGTCTGTTAAATGTCCCTGAGTCCACCCAACTAATATGGGTATTACTAGCGTTAGGGAAAGCAAAGGCGGGCTGGCCATAGTGCTGACCACACTACCCCTTTATATGCTGAGGTCACTGAAACAGATGAACTCTACTTGCCCCATGGACAGACACAGGAAATCATACAATCCAAATTTAGTAACCCAATCTATTTAATCTGAGTGCAAAAAATCAAAGAACATGAAAATAAGAACTATAGGTGTATTTCACACAAGAAAAGATAGCTAGCCTAATAAAAAAAAATGCAATGTTAATTTATCCCTCTGTCGAATGCATGAAATGCTGACATTGTACTACTATTGTCATTGACGATAAAAATATATACAGAAATATAATATATTTCAAGTCCACATTGAGATGTGACACACACAAATATGTAGTCACAACTGTTATACTAAACAACTATACTTTTATTAATTACCCAAGTTTTACAGCATGTATCAGATTTTTATTTATAAATCTGTGCAAATCAGTGTAAATCAAGGTCCCATTCATGTTCAATCTGCATAAAAGACCTTGAAGAAAGTTTGTATCCTAAGAGTTACTAATATGATAATGCAATTTGGAAATGAAAATTTTTTTAGATGCGTTTTTTAGTCACTTTGGAAAAAAAAAAAACCTTTTTAAATTCTAACTACACTGAGAAAAATGCGTTTAAAAGGGCTTTTACTTTTAGCTTCAAGCACTTTTTGGTTAAAAAACTGAATCATGACATCAGTTGCCACCTAGGTAGGTGAGATGTATGGATGGATACTCCCCGCACCTTCACCCACATATAATTAATCGCAAAGCAAAAACGTTTAATATGAACAGTAGGCCTACCCAATTTAGAATCTACAATTAATACTAATAGTTTCGCTGTCTGTCTATCTATCTATCTGTCTGACAAGAACGCTCTAGAGAAAACACAAGCAAAATAAAAACATGCACAGTAATTCGAAAAACGAAGTATGACGCGGTCACATTTAGCATAGAGTAGAACATAATCTCAAACCGGAGAGTGCACACAGTAATACGACGTCATTGATTCTCGCGTAAACATTGAAAAAAAGGAAATTTTGTCTAATCTAAATGGTTTGCGTGAAGAGTTTCTTTCATACAATTCTTCGGGTAGGGGCGAAGCCCCACCCCCGCGTAAGAACGTCTGAGCCCCCCCCCCCCCCCCCCCGCCCCAACTCAAAAGAAATGTCGTAATCGATACTCTATAATAAAATTACCGCCTAATTAATGTGTCTAATCTAAAAAGTGGTTTTCTTGCAATTTTTTTAATGAAATTCTTCGGGTAGTGGCTAAGCGCGACACCAGTGTTTCTTTCAGACTTTTTCCTCCCCGGAGAGGGGTGGGGGTAATTGAAATTTTCGGGGGCGGGGGTAGAATTTTCGGGGAGGGGGGGCGGGACACTGGAAATAGTATATAATTATATTTCGTTGAATGGGACGGTAGACATGTTTTTTGAGGGGGGGTGGGGGGGGGGGGGGGGGGGGTGGGGGGGGGTGTGGGGGTGGGGGGGGTGGTGTGTGTGTGGGGGGGGGGGTGGGGGGGGTTAGTTTAGAGAAAAGAGACAGCACTATCAGCCTAGCGCCCGTTGTATCCTTCCTCAACGGGCCATTTTTCTCGTAAACAATAATTGTCATACACAACATCAAGTTCAGTTGGCCTATATGTTAAGTGAATAGGAATAGACCTACTGGACATGAAAGACCAAATATAATTTTAAAAGGTAGGCTTAATTTATAAATTTCAATTTTAAAAAGTTAATTGATAAACGGTCTACACATTTTTAAACACACTGTATTTTTTTTAAAAATAGCGCCATATAAAATATCATTAAAATGGTTTACAGTACTTTCTCCAGTCAGTGTATTTCCAAACAGAGTGTATGCTATTGTTTTACAGTCACAGTTATTTACATATTTACGGAAGAATACCAAAGCTATATCTGATGAAATAGTGGGATTACCCTCATTAAGACAATATAAAGTTTAATTAGGCATATGTTTTTTTTTTTACTATATGACATAGGATAGGCCTACTATTAATTTAATCGAAGTGACTACGAGGAAAAAGATTTTTCTGCAAAAAATATGAAACTCAATAGTTCTGCGCATGTGCAGTGATCTTAATAACTGTGCTAGGGCTAGTGTTAGGGTTCTGCAGTTTGTTTGTAAACACACGCATGCGCAGCACCATCAAAAACATCGCGATATCTTTTTCTGGCTAGAATCAACCTAATTTACTATGTTTATTAAAAAAAAACAAATGGTAGCTGCAGTGAGGTTAATGTAATTAGTAATAAAACAGATAGTATTAGTTACCTCACAAGTTAAAGACAGTTACGATAGATTACCGGAAATCCTGCTCACAAACACTGCTGTTAAAAGTTAATTTCTTGCCTATATCTATATTCTATATTGATATAGAATATAGAATTATACTAATCTACTTAGATATTGATTTAGGTTTATTATTCATTTCTATAATATTTGACACAAATATATGAAAATATACTTTTAAAAGCCTTGACAATGAGGTAACTTTTTCGTACATTACTAGCCGCGGGCGATTTTACGTACCCAAAACGATAGATTACCAAATTCTCGACTACTAGATCTAGATCTAGGTCTAGATCTAGATTAGATCTAGATCTAGATCTAGACAGAGTAGAGTTCAGTAGAGTCAGTAGAGGCTTAACTGAATTTTATCATAATTTTATGAGTTACCATCTTCACCCAGAACGCTTCCAATCTCATCAAAAATTTCATCTTTGAGACTGTTATTTTTAAAATCAGGATGTCCTGCGTCATACATTATTGGGTAACGTTGAATCATTCGTATTAAATCTTCGGTACGTTTCTTTCTAGCCGCCATTCTCGTTGATTTACCAGCAGTAAAAAAATGTAGATCTGGGTAGATCTTTATCAGTTATAAATCTACCTACCGCAAAGAGAAAACAAATCCGAAAAAAGTCGCAACACATTGTCATGCCGATACTAATACACCAGTCTGTCGAGGCGAAGTGACCCTGTGAGATATGGACTAGTGTTTAGTAGACCAGTTTTAATAATACCCGGGGGATGGAAGTATATTAAAAATAAAATAGTGATGCCAAAATACTAAAATAGAAATCGCGGTGACCAGATGTTCTGTGTGGCAAGTTGTTCAGCAGCAGTTAAGCTTATTTCTACCACTCTATTAAGTTGACAACATTTTGATCGACTAAAATAAGTTAAAAAGTAACAGGTTTGATTATTATTGACTAAAGGACCTCTGAAGGACTAAAGTAATTTTTTTTTGGATTTTTTAGTTGATGTAGTTGCCCGTCTTGTGGAAACAAAAATTCAAAAATCTACCGGCCGTATACGAGAAATAAACAAATTCACATATCTGAGAAGCGTGATCAATAGAGACTGAAGGGGACGGGAGGAGGGGGGGGGGGGGGGGGGGAACAGAAGCAGTGTTTCTTCCAGACTTTTTTTCTCCGGGGGGGGGGGGTACTTGAAATTTTTCGGGGGGGGGGGGGGCGGGTAGACTTTCTTTGGGGAGGGAGGGGGGGCGGACACTGTTAAAAGTATATATGTTCAATATAAATTTCATAGTAGAGGCCCACAGGCGTAGTGAGGGGATAGCGGATTGCACCGGGTGACGCCATTTAAGGATGGGAGGTGACATCAAGACAAAAAATAGAGAAACATAGGGAAATAAAAATGATCACTCCAGTTTAAAAAAATGATTAATTAGAGTTAAATAGACAGTTAAGAGCTCAGTAGACAAATCCCGACAAGGGGGGGGGGGGGGTGACACAGTGATACAAATCTGCTAACGATTAGGGAAAACTATGCCACACCCAGCTGTATTAATAACCGACTAAACATCATTAGTATTATCTGTAAACAGTTTTAAAGCTATCACGTAAGGGGGGGGGGGGGGGGGGGGGGGGGGGGTTAGGGTTTACACCAACTAAACGTTGCAAAAATTTGCCTAAGGAGAAAGTGGGGGGGGGGGGGGGGGGGAGACACCATTAGGTGTCCCAACGTGACAGCTATTTGTTCATTAATAATTGAATGGAATGGCAAAATAAAAGAAACGCTGCTTGAACTAATGATTTGGTGATTAAAATGGCTCTTTTTATTTAAAGTTTAAACATTTATTACAGGGGAAATTTCTAATCAATGTCAACAGAGTTTCTTCCAGGCATCTCTTGGGGGGGGGGGGGGGGGAGATTTTTAACCCCCCCCCCCCCCCCGAACGAAATGAAATTTATATAGAAAATATATACTTTCAACAGTGTCCGCCCCCCCCCCCCCCCCCAAAAAAAAAATTTCAAGTGCCCCCCCCCCCCCCCCCCCCCCCGGAGAAAAAAGTCTGGAAGAAACACTGAATGTCAATATTTATAAGCTAGTGGTTATTTAATTTAGAACTTAAATTTTTTAACCACGGCCTATGCATCTGGATATCTACAGTGAGCTGCCTTCCATGAACAAGTATGGAGATCTTCAATCATGTATATTATTTACAATTTTGGCATAGTATTGTTAATGTAGATATAGTTAAGACAAACTTTAAACCTTTAAACTCACAACAGACAAAAATACTTTGCTTTGTTTTCAAGCATAATTTATTAAATTGTAAAATATTGTTTAAACAACAATAAAGTTTTGATACATTTTAGTTGTTAAAAAAAGAAAATCCAATCCACCAAAATAAAACCCAATTCAAATACTGAAATAGTTGAAAAAATGTAAATTTCAATAAAATTACCTGATAGTATACTATTTTAACAGAATGTAATTGTTGTAATCTATTATTTAAACTTCTGCCTATGCACTTGATAATGCCTTATTAAATGACTGTTTCTTGAAAATTTTCTACCACAATCAATGCAAGAAAATCTTTTCTCCCCAGTATGCACCATCTGATGCTCTTTTAGATGACCACTTTGGCGAAATGTTTTACCACAAGTGTTGCAAAGATATGGTTTCTCTTTTGTGTGAAGAGTTTGATGCTCTTTCAACAGTTTTTTTGCGTGCGAAAGGCTTAGCACAAACGAGACAAACAAAAGGTTTCTCCATTTTGTGCACTATCTGATGCTGCGTGAGGTATTTTAAACAAATAAAAGCTTTACCACATTCAGTGCAGGTAAAAATCTTCTTATTACGATGTGTCAGATGATGATGAGTTAAACTGCTCCTATCAGAAAACATCTTATTACAAACAGTACATAAAAAGGACTTTTCCTGTGTGTGTACAAGCATATGGCGAATTAAATGGCTGTTTCGAATAAATGTTTTACCACAATCATTGCAAGAGAACCGTCTCTCCATTGTGTGTGTTTGTTGATGCTCTTTTAAATGACCATTGTTGCTAAAGCTTTTACCACATACATTGCAACTGAAGCATTTTTGCTTTGTATGGCGATGTTCATTTGTCATGTTATTATAAGATTGACTGTGTGTAGTGTGAGGAAAAAACATGTCACTTAAGTTCTCAGATTTAGGATTCAAATATCCCATAACAGGGAAATTATGTACATAAGGCTTATCTTTAGTATGTACAATATGATGTCGATTCAAATGGCTCTTTCGAGCAAATTTTCTACCACATACCTTGCAAGCAAATTTTTTTTCTCCTGTATGTACTAAATAATGCTCTTTTAAATGGCAATTTCTGTAAAAGGTTTTGTAACAAACATTACAAGTAAATCTTGCTTCTAAATGAACAAGCACATGATTGTTTAATTGCCATTCATCTGAGAAAGTTTTACTACAAATACTGCAGGCTAGAGGTCTATCTTTTAAATGTACATTATAATGACGTATTAAATGACTATTTCGAGCAAAGCCTCTACCGCAAACACTGCAAACAAAGTTCTTTTTTCCTGTATGCAAGAGTTGATGCTCCTTCATATGACTTTTCTGACGAAACATTTTCCCACAAACATCGCAAGCAAACCTCTTTTCTATCACATGCATGCATGGGTGCTCTTTTATATGGTTATTTTGTACAAAGAGCTCATTACAAAAACTACAAGCAAATGGATTGTACTTTGTATGAAGAAATAAATGATGTTTCAAAAGACATTTCAGTTTAAAGCTCTTGTTACACAAGTTGCAAGAAAAAGTTTTCTGTTGTACTTTTGAAGGTACAGAAAAATCAGCTTTGATAGGGTAATTGCATATTTTACAGTTCTCATGTTCCTCTGAGTGAAATTTAATATGTTTTACTATACAGTGTCTTGTCTTATACCATTTATTACACAGGTCACATCTATAAATTTTTGGGAATGTCTGTTGAAATATATTACTTATCTCATTATTTTTAAAGTCTTGATAAGCAACTGTTGGCTGTATATCCGCAGTTGTGTCAACTGTTGACATATAATTGCCAGTAAAATATGTTTGCCCCACGGCATCATCAGTATCAACAATTTCTGATTTAATCTGTACTGGCATTAAGAATCGAGTTGATCTTGCCTTTGCATCTGTTGTACAAGGATCATCATCTGATTCTAATTGCACATTATTTGTATGATCCATTATGGTAAGTTAGCAGTTTGTTCAGGTAGACCTGTAGTAAAATTAAAAGTTCACTTAGTGGGTTTAGTCTGTAAATCGTTTACGTTTTTCTAGAAAAAAAAATTAATTCCATACATCTCATAGCATTATTTATTTGTGTGATGAAGATCAGATGATAAATAATTTTAAATAAAAAAGATTCCCTTTATGCTTATTTAAATGGTTTTACAAAAAAAAAATAATAATTATCAAGATATAGGATAAAAATATAAGATATAACAGTTAGGATATAGCTAAATATGGCCAAAAGAAAAAGACATCATTTAACAAAATGATCTAAAAATTTATTGGTGTATTTTATTGAGTAAATAATGATAAATAATTGTTTTAAATAGGTTGAAATCTTGAAAGTGAAAGACATTTTTAAGAAAAAATTGAGTGCATGTTTTATTATACAACATGATCATACAAATTTTATATGTATACTTTGCATTACTTTTGTACAAGTAAAATTCCCTTTTGGTCCTGATGGCCAAGGGGTGGGCAAAGTAGAGTTCACATGTTTCTGTGACCTCTGCATCAGAAGGGATAATGTGGTCAGCAATATGATACATGATACAACTTTAACCAGGAACCTGAACTCCAGACTTAATGCCCTTATGACTTATGAGTTAGCATACAAACGCTTTATAATTCAAACAAGCCGTCACACTTTTTTACAAAGTATATGTATTTTTTTGTTCTTAATTTCATAATTTGTTTATAATTAAACAATATTTGTTTTAAAAAGCCGAAACTATAGTTTTTTCTTGTTGTCACATGAGACTATGAATGTAATTTAAATGTAAACTATCTTTAGCCTTAGCGGTAATTAACTGAGTTATCCAGATGAATTCCATAAAATTAGCCTATATTACATATTATTATAATTTTATATACTATATTCTATATAAAGTATATAATAAAGTAAATAAAGTATATTATAGTATTTATAGTATAGGGCATAGCCTATTCATGTCATAGGGCATATTAAAATTCAGAAAATGAAAATAAATTAGTGCAAAATTAACAGCAGCTGATATACCTAAAATAATTGCTGCTAGCCTATATTAAACATTTGGTAGACCTACGTGGTAACAAGTTCAAGTACTTACTACAGACTACAGACCACATCCATCATATATTATTTTTAATATTTAATATTTTAATATGATCATTATATTGCGACATCATATTATAGAATATATTATTAATAAATTAATAATTATTACCTACTTTATTAGTTATTACTATTATTAAGCTACTAAATAGTAGGCCTAAATAAATTACTTTGTTCATAGAATCTAGTTTCAGTTATCTTAAATAATGATTCTTTAGAAGTTTAGATGTAGTATGTACTATGCATATTTAGATCTTAATTTAGAAGATCTAGATCTAGATTCTAGTAACTAGTTGTAAAGATGCCATCATATTCATGGGTGTTAAGTGGTTTCCCTTGGTTATTTATATGGTAGCTTAGTTACCGTACATTACCGTTACAGTTTTGTGACGCCTCTGCCTCAAACTATCACCTCATCGAAATTGCAATTCTAGTAGAGTGCCATACAAGAAAGAGGTGCCTATTTATCGCAATGTCAGTGCACTTTTGCATCTATCTTTGGGATAGTTACATCATCATTTTATGGATGTGGGCTATCAGCAACAGAGCGTTTTATCCAGGTTATTTACATGACGGGCAGTGTTTCTTTCAGACATTTTACTCCAAGGGGCGGGAGAGAGGGGGGATTATTGTTGTTTAAGATGTATAGAATTTTAACGATTGTTTCTCAAAATAAAGGCAAATAATGTTAGTTTTTTTTTTAAATTGTTAGACATGGCATTTCTGGGGGTAAGATACGCCTGTACGCGCCTAGATGTATTGGCTATGAAACTGGATGATCAGATTCAGATTCGTTGTAATACACTAGGGCTTGCTGGTCTTAGTGTTTAACACATCTGGCCCGATTCCATCTGATGGGAACTGGTGGTCTCGAAACCATACTTATCATCACTCTGCTTTATTTCAAAATGTAAAATACCCCTGCTTTATTACAAAATGTAAATTATCCCTAATTGATTACAAAATATAATTCCTGATCAGTAGACAGAAACGCCATAATCAGTGTTTCTTTCAGATTTTTGTTCTCCAAATGGGCACTCGAAATTTCCGAGGGGGGCGGACAATGGTAAAGATATTTCGTTCGGTGAGCAGAAGACGGTGGGTTTTTTTTTGGGAGGGGGGGGGGGGTTAGAGTGATGGGATCAAGACCATTAAAAAATGCCCGTCATATTACAACAATAGCAAAATCTTAAATATCAGGTGCTTTAAATATAACAAGTTTTTCATGTTCGCCGTGTAGATTTTATGGCCAAGTGTGTATAGCTTTATCAACTTTAAAAAAAATATTCTTTACTGATTGTCTGCTGCGCGCTTCTGTGGGTCATAAGTAACGCCCGCAACACTACGGCTATCAAAGCAGACCAGGGGTCTCCAAACTTTTCAGTCCGAGGGCCGCATTAACTATCAATTTTAAGTTCGGGGGCCAGTTTCTTCCCGGCATGTCTTTGATTTTTCTGGGCAAAGTTCCTCAGCCATCACCAACAAACGTTTTTTTTCCGTGGACAAAAAGATCTCCGCGGGCCGGATGAGAGGACCTCGCGGGCCGCATCCGGCCCGCGGGCCATAGTTCGGAGACCCCTGAAGTAGACCATCAGGAAAGCGTTGCTGTAGGAAGCCTAGCTGGTCGAAGGGATTACAGTTCTACAGAGGCGTAGCGAGGGGGGGTGAGGGGACATATGTCCCCGGGCGCTGACCTTAGGGGGGCGCCAAAATGGGTTGAAAAAATAATTTGAAAAGTTGAGAGGGGGGGGGTGCAAATCGAAATCTTGAGGGGGATGCAAATCGAAAGTTTGTCCCCGGGCGCGGGAAGGGTCGCTACGCCTCTACAGTTCTACCCACTCTACCAAGCACGAAGCGGTGGGCTCTAAACTAGCCTGGTCATTTATTGCTGTCATTACATTCGCATTTGGGTCTAAATCATTGCTCCATTTAGACATCGTTTAAATAAATCTTTTTTTTTCTTAAAGTTTTTATCTGTTCTTGTATCTGTTATTCTGTTTGTTTTATCAAATTTTGTAACTCAACTATCTGTCATCATATTGTATTAGGCATCATCGGAAAGCTGGATTTCTCATGTATTTAATAGTATTTTCCGTCATCTCGGAAACACAGAGCTTACAATCGGCTTTACAAATTACACAGAAATATATTTTCGTGACCTACTTTTTATCGGGAAATTTCGAAGGAAATCGCTGCATTAGAAGATGTCAAAATACAATATGATGACGGATATTACATTTTCGTAGAGAGCTTGAAAGATTGGAAAAACATTTTTTTTTTCAATTAGGAGTCATCCATAAATGACGTCACGCTTTTTTTGACGATTTTTACTAAACTATTACAATTTATTAAAACAGTTATCTAAAACGCGAAATAACGTCTAAAATTCGTTTTCTAACATTGCTTTTTTATAATACAAAATTGTGACGTCGCAACATCTGAACCCCCTCCCCCCCCCCATCACACATCGTCATAAAATTACGGACCCCCCCTCCCACTTACGAGTGTGACGTCATTTATGGATGACCCCTTAATAATAGGGTCATAAAAATGGTATTTTAAACACATTAAAATGCCTCATTTAAAGTTATTATTTTCTTAATACAAAAGTATCCAAGGGTGCAAGAAACCCATTATGATGAAAAATCAGGATTTTGGTAATTTTTTTAATGCGCATAAAAGCCACCCTTAAAATATATATATATATTAAGTAATTATTAAGCTTGATTGCCGCGAATAACTGTTGTGAACTATTTTAACGCATACAATTCGAACACGGACATTATTTGCAAAGGGCAGTACAATTATTGCCAGCACTTGTTGGGTTTTTAAAAAACAAATATTAATTGTCTTAAAAGTAGGCTACTGATTGTTTTTTTTTGTTGTTTTTTTTTTTTAAACTTAAAAATCGAATATTTTTTTATTTTTAAAATTCAAAATTACTAAAATGTAAAAAAATAATATATTAAAAAAAACGTGAAAAAAAGGAGAAAAACAACGTTCTTTCATAAGTCAAACATAGAAATCTCTTACATATTTTAGTGATAAAAGCTAATACTAAAAGAGCTAGTATGTTTTTTTATTATTACTTTCAGTGAATTTAAAAACCTAAAAGGTTTGATGGTTGTTTTTTTTAAAATAATATCCATCGTTTTTAAAATTAGAAACTAATGATTAGTTTACGAGATCTAACTTACCATCTACATAAAATAATCGCAATTGTCCGTATGGAAATTGCGCTAAAAAAAGATTCCTCTTTCTTTAGACCTAACGATCAATTGGGCAGATGAAGTGGCGTCCATGTGTTTCTCGACCTCGCCTTATAAAGGGATAATGTGGTCAATACTATGCCCAGCCGCCTTTACTTTCCCTAACGTGAGTTAGGTACCCATCAGAGTTGGGTGGACTCAGGGACGTTCCACTGGCTTAAACCCGGATTTGAACTCGAAACTATCGGGTTGACAGTCTAGTGATTACCATCTACGTTTCCTAATAAATAATCGAGGAAAGGAAAGTAATGACATGGTTATGGCTGTTGCAGAGGCGTAGCGAGGGGGGGGGGGGATGCGGACCGCACCGGGTGACACCATTTAGGGGGGTGACACCAAGGCAAAAAATAGTAAAATAGTAAAATATATAGAGAGCAATTTGACGGGGGGGGGGGGGGGAATCGAAAGTTTGAGAGGGGGGGGCGGGTGCAAATCGAAAGTTTGAGGGGGGTGCAAATTGAAAGTTTGTCCCCGGGAAGAGTCGCTACGCCTCTGGGGGGGGGGGGGGGGTGACACCATTAAGTGCCGCACAGGGTGACACCCGACCTCGCTACACCACTGGGCTGTTGTATTATGGATTGAAGTCATTTTGTTACAGCAGGGGGAATGAGTACTTGCACATATGCATAATCATACGAATAAACATTGCATTATATCCAGTAGTGTAATACAATTTTCACAAAGGTAAAAGATCTCCTAAAATGCATTGTCTGGTATGGAATCCCCAGTCATAACAGGAACCATTAAAGAAAATTTTGCCTAGGTGTTCAAAGAATACAGATATTTAAAGAGACAAGAGAGAATGTATCTTCTCTGGGGATGGTAAAATTATTAAATTAAACCATGAGGAGTTTGGATACATGGATTAGCAAAGTGGCTACTGGCAAGTGGTTTCTGGGACTGGGTAGTGTTTCTAGCAAGTGGTTTTTATATTATTGTATGTGTAGTCTATATGCATTAGAGGCTTATATCTGAATAAAATATATTTGTTTTATAATGGAAGAACATTGAGATAATACCAGTTTTCATGAAGTCTACTGCAAATTTCTGAATCACTGAAACAATAATAACACATTTAATTTTATTTTAATATGAGAGTTATAAAGCTACATAAAAATTGATAATGTAAGCTAAATATGATTTATTTTGAGCAAACTTGCTAAGTAATAATAAGGCATGAATAAAAACCTTTAAAATAACAAACGTTTAAATGAATCACTATATTTTCCTGTACATGCTCAGGACATATGCAGGAGAGGAAGTAAAGTTCATTTGTTTCAATGACCTGGGTACATATGGAGAAAGCGTGGTCAGCACTATGCCCAGCCGTCTTTGTTTCCCTAACATGAGTCAGGTAATAAATCAAAGCTGAGTGGACATTCTACAGACTAAATCCAAATGGACATACAATTAAAAAAACATGTATTTTATTTTGCAATGGTCATAAAACTAAAAGCGTTGGTTATTTTATACTATCTACTGTATAACAACGATTGAAATATGTATTCAAAAAACACTCTTGTCGCAAAGACGTTGAGTTATTATTAACAGGTTATATCTTCCTATATAGGCCCTACTAGGCCCTATGTAGCCTATAGATACAGAACTACAGAACCATTTTAATGTGTCTTCAAACAAATTTTTAACTCGAGCACAGCTGACAAAATTTTTACCACAAAACTAGACCAAAGAAATTTTTTGCACAAAACTCGACCACTGCCAACAAAATTTAGCATAAAACTAGACTGTTATGATGCATGTTATAATCTATGCTATAGATTGGCGCGAATGAATGTTGTTGCGAAAGGTATGTTGAACGCAAGGAATGATGACGCGTATGGTGCGACAGTGACGTTCTGGTGTAGAGACTGGTTGCTAGGTATTGTGCGTGAGTAGTATGATTTTCTTCGCCTTGGTGGAAGGATGTATGTGAGTTGAGAGTACAGAATTAAAGATAAGAAAAGAAGCCTGCGTTCCTCTCATTGATTGTTGGTCGTCCACGTCGTCTTAGTGAATGATGGTACAATGTATGTCTGTGAACACATCTCCACATGGTAGTGGTTAAGAAAAAATGGTATTGGATCAAATAACCAAAGACCCTCACTCAGCGTAACATAGACCACGAGGACTTTTTTCAGGAGGTCAACTTGGACTTTTACTGCTGTTCCTAGGACCCAGTCCACCTATGATAGCACAAAACTTGACCACTGCCAACAAATCTATAGCACAAAACTTGACCACCTGACATTTGTATGTTATTTAACCACTGACATTTTTAACAAGCTGTAATAGATTGAGATAATTGTGAGGTCAAGGGAACTCACTCTTCTGTATTAGTTATATTTATAATATTGTTATCTTGAGTGATGTCCCTTGTGCTTTGTACTTCCTTCCTCTCTGGTTGTCAACATGTAGTTAGACCCAATAAACGTTATATACAACCACATGCTTCTATCGTCAATCCATCACATTTTGGCGACGAGGATAAAAATCTACTAGAAAGAGCACCTACTTACGCAAAAAAGAGGTTTGCTAGAGCTTATTAGCTAAGTATTTCTAGAATAATGGCGCTGTATGGCCAAATAAAAGAATTTGATGCGAATGATGAAATCATTCAAGATTACCTAGATAGGTTAAGCTTTTACCTTGAAGCAAACGACGTGACGATAGAAGCCAAAAAGAGAGCTGTTTTGTTAACAGTCATAGGGCCTCAACAATTTAGGCTACTAAAAGACTTATGCGCACCAGCTAGTCTAACTACCAAGAGCTTTAACGAGCTGAGCAAATTGCTAACAGACCACCATGCGCCTACCCCATCAAAGTTTCTATGTCGAGCTAGATTTGACAGTAGGACTCGTCAACCAAACGAGTCAATATCAGAATATGTTGCTGCTTTACGTCAATTAAGTAGATTTTGTGAATTCGGAGACACGCTGTCTGACAGACTATGTGAAAAGTTTGTGACAGGTGTAAACAGCCCTGATATTCAAAGAAAGTTGCTGCTCGAGTCAGATCTAACATTAGAAAAAGCAATACAACTTGCAACTTCATTCCAGCAGTCATCAGATGCGGCGAAATCTCTTACGCCTTTAGAGATCCATGCAGTAAACAGCAGGTTAGTCAATAAACATCAACCCCAACAGAGCATTCCAACTTATGCTAAACAGCCTGCACGTTTAAAGCCTAGATCTAAATCTAGTAATAATTATCAAAAATGTCATCGATGCAAAGGTCCCCATGCATCTCATCGGTGCAAGTTCAAGTCTGCAACTTGTTATAAGTGCAGTAAGCAAGGTCACATCGCTAAGGCCTGCTTTGCAAAGTCTTCGTCTGTTGCTAAATCTAGCCAGTCAAGACAGTACCGCAACCAAAAGCAGCACTATGTTAACTCTCACCAAGACTACCTAACCCAAACAATGAACCACTCTACCTGTGAAAATTCTCAAACTGATTCGCAGCCGGATTTCAACCTGTTCTCTGTGAAATCAATAAGTCATGCTCCCATCAATGTACCAGTTTATATCAACGGTAAGAGCATCAGCTTCCAACTTGACACTGGAGCATCTCTAACAGTCATAACAAAGAAAGATTTTGACGCTGTCACAGGAGGATCAGTGCCTCTACAGCCATGTCACAAGTGCCTAACAACATACACTGGTGACAATGTTCCGGTAATAGGAGAGTGTATGGTTCATGTAAGTTATAATGGTCAAAGTGTTAAACTTCCTCTTCTTGTGGTTGAAGGAAATGGACCACCATTACTAGGTAGGAACTGGTTAAGTGATCTTAAGTTAAATTGGAAGAGTATATGTTCATTGAACTATACAAGAGAATCTAGTCTTACTTCACTAGATAAAGTAATATCTGAAAATAAAAGTGTTTTTGGCAATTCTGGATTACTAAATGATAGAACAGTGAAGATAAGCATTAAAGACACAAATCCAAGATACTGCAAAGCTAGAGTTTCACCTTATGCAATGAGGAATAAAATTGAAAATGAGCTAAGTAGATTGGAATCTAATGGCATCATAAAGAAGGTAGACTATTCCGATTGGGCAACGCCCATTGTGCCAGTGTTAAAGAAGGATGGTTCTATAAGAATTTGTGGAGACTATAAAGCTACACTGAATAAGCAAATAGAGCTAAATAGGTACCCTATTCCTAACATTGAGGAAATTTCTTTGAATTTGGCAGGAGGAGACAAATTCACTGAATTAGACTTTAGTCATGCTTACACTCAACTAGAACTGCATCCAGATTCAAAAGTCTATACGACAATAAACACACATAAAGGACTCTACCAATATGAAAGACTATGTTTTGGCATATCATCTAGCCCTGGAATTTTCCAAGCTGTCATGGACAGTATTTTTAAGGACATTCCAAATGTTTGTGTTTACTTTGACAATGTGTACATATCTGGTAAGAATGACACTGAACATCTTAAAACACTTGATAAAGTATTGAAAATTGTTGGTGAAAAAGGTTTAAAGATAAACAAAGATAAATGTCAATTCATGCTGACAGAAATTAGTTTTCTTGGTTATATATTAAGCAAGCAAGGTATCAGACCTCAACCTGAGAAAACAAAAGCCATTAAAGAAGCACCCAAACCTGAAAATACCCAACAACTAAGAGCTTTTTTGGGCTTGATAAATTACTATGCAAAGTTCATAGGAAATCTGTCTGGTAAACTATCACCACTGTACAAGCTGCTACAGAAAAATGCAACTTGGCACTGGGGTAAACAACAAGAAGCTGCTTTTAATACAACAAAAGAGGCTTTGTCTTCTGACACCTTACTAACTCACTATGACCCAGGGAAAAGACTTATATTAACATGTGATGCTTCACCAGATGGTGTAGGAGCAGTCTTGTCCCACATGGATGAGAAGGGTGACAGACCCATTGCTTTTGCCAGTAGATCTTTGAACCAGGCTGAGAAAAATTATTCTCAGTTAGATAGGGAAGGCTTAGGCATCATTTTTGGTGTTAAGAAATTTCATAAGTTTCTGTTTGGTAGGAAGTTCACCATCTTTACAGATCATAAACCATTGCTAGGTTTATTTGGAGAAAACAAAACCCTACCTGAGCATGCCTCACCAAGAATTCAAAGATGGGCTATCACACTAACTGCATACAATTATGAATTGAGATACAAACCTGGATCTGAGAATAGTGCAGATAGTCTTAGTAGATTACCTTTAAAAAACCAAAGCCTGAGCTATGTACCAGAAGATGTATTTGTTCTCTTCACTATCATGGATAACTCCAAAATAAATGTGAATGATGACTTAAGGCCATATAAAATAAGAAATAAAAACCTTTGTGAAGATAATATAAAAGATGGAGAAGATGCAGTCCATTATCAGTCAGAGTTGCCTAAACAAAGTATTTGTAACTTAATAAATGATTATGGTGATATGGCAATTTCAAATGTGATCATCAAACAACCTTGCTAACATCATTAGCACTTACAGAAACTAAAAGGGTAACATCAAAAGAAAAAAAAAAGATTTTTGACATTTAATACTTTCAGATGCCAATTCAAAAATAGTTCCATTAAATCATGACAACACATGCATTGAAAGAGAATTTGGTGTTAATGATAATGTGTATCTAAGAAATTATGGGAGAAAGGAAAAATAGATACCAGGTCAAATTGTTCAATGTACAGGACCTGTGTCTTATAAAGTTAAAAATAACTTGTGCAGATAATAAGTGTGAATCTATCAATCCCACCAAATCTGAACAGTTCACACCAACTCAGTTTGTTCCACAACCAAGTTCTGTTGATATGAGTGAACCAAGTTGTCTGGAGTCAGAAAATGTAAATTCTGGAGTTAATGATTTAAATCCTAGACCTCCTGAGATAGAGAATCCAAATGGTCAGAATATTGAGTCACCAAATCAAAAGCCACTGAGAAGGTCAAACAGGACAATCAAAGTCCCAAATAAGTTAGACCTATGATTTTAAAGGTCAAAAGGACTTTGACATCATTGTTTTGTATTTTAATTATGTTGTAACATATTGTGCATTGTTTGTAAGGATGTAATCTACCATAGTGTTCATGTTACAATATAATTGGTGATTTTAGGATACTATCAATTGTTCTATTGAGAGATGTGTTATTGTGTTCTAAGGGTAAAGGGATGTAATAGATTGAGATAATTGTGAGGTCAAGGGAACTCACTCTTCTGTATTAGTTATATTTATAATATTGTTATCTTGAGTGATGTCCCTTGTGCTTTGTACTTCCTTCCTCTCTGGTTGTCAACATGTAGTTAGACCCAATAAACGTTATATACAACCACATGCTTCTATCGTCAATCCATCACACAAGCTATATCTTAAATTACAGATATTGAACCATTTTAATCAGCAAAGCAATAAAAACTTATGAGAATGGAATAGTTGAAATTTAAAATGGAGCATAAGTCAACACGAAATTGCAGTTACGATAATAAAATATAGTAGCTCTCCTTAGCAGAATTCACTGCTATTACAACTATAGAGTGTGATACAATAGTAACTTATATTCACAGTTAAATTATTTATAGAGCTTACATAGAGACAAAACCAAGCAGATAAGTATTAAGCATAAAGCATGCATAAATTTTATAAATATTGAAAGTTGAAATGTAATTATGCAAAAGACATCTAGTATATTCTTTTCAAAAAATTTTGCCACTTGATTGCTGTTATTTTAGATAAAAATAATTTCGTTTTTACGTTAAATCTAATGTCTTTAAAATGTTAAATTACTAAAGAACAATATAAAACTAGTGAACCAAACATTTAATTGAAAATGTGAATTTCATGCTATAAAATAGACATAATATCTACTACCAAATAATTTTACAAAATTGATATTATTACAAAACTAGTAAAAAAAATAGAAGTTTAAGTAACCACTGTAATTAGGTTTCCGGGTGATTAAGTCTTGAAAATCTTGAAACATGTTCAGTCTAGAAAATAAAGAAGCAAATAATATAAGCTTATATGTCAACGGGAGGGTTAAAATCTATTTGACATTATATATATATTAAAATATATATATATATATATATATATATATATATATATATATATATATATATATATATATATATATATAGGCTATATATTTAAACAAGTAAAATTAAGGTATTATGAGATTTGGAAATTGTAATATTACCATAAGCACACCATGATAGAACCTTAATTCTGGAGATACCTATCCTCCATTGCACCTTGGCTTACGGTATGTAAGTATAGGAAAATAATACTTTAATATACTTAAACTTACTTGAAATTTAGGAAAACGAACAAGAACATCACATTGTATTGGTAGATGGCAGGTATAAGTAGCTTCTTTTAGCCAGTATTTTTTCAGAGAACTTCCATTTTTAATAACTTCAATAGTGTAGCCATCCTTAAAATTAATATTCAAACAAGTCAAAGTTTAAATAAAGCCATTTGACTCTAACTTAAAACAAATATATGTCTTTTTTAAAATGACATAATCAAACACTTCAATATTTTCATGTAAAAACTATCATAAAACAGATTTTCCTATTTCTATTTATTTCTTGTGCAATTAATTCATACATTCAGTGATTCTTTGAAAATAAATTATGTTATTTAGTTGTACAGTGACTATTTTTATATTGCTGATTATCTTATAAAAATTAAAGAGGACAATAATTAAAGCTGTTACAACTGTGAATTATTAATAATATAATAATAACTGTACTTCATAAAGTCTTTAAGTGGAAATATACATACAAGAATATTTATTAAAACAAGCTATTAGACAGCTTATGAATTATGATTCGATTATTAAAATTCCATACTCTATGAACAATGTGTAAGTAGTCGTAGTAAAAGTAATACATATGGTGTATAAAATTTAAGAATTATGGTTTTAAATTATAGAAGGGCTTTTAAATTTCATACTTATGTTGATCGTACTGTATAATAAAAGCAAACATATTATTATATTCAATTTTGAGCAATTTAAAAAAGATTATGTCAATGTTTATATATGTTTTCTATAGTTTCATGTTTTACCAAGTTCAAATAATTTAGGCACTGATATTCTTTATTTAAAACAAAAAAAAAACTGTTGTTTACAGTCAAGTCCTTTGTTGCTAGGATAAGCTCTTTCTGTTCTTTTGAATCATAAGACTTAGATTTAGTAGGTTTCTGAAGGGTCCATCTAAAGTAAATTTAAAAAATATAAATGTAGATGTAATTTATACTGATAAGTATAGTGGTAGATGAAGATATTGAAAATTATATAAATACAAATACAATGACAAAAACAAATATAAATAAATAATTATCTATCTATATAATTATATATACACATACATATTTACATATATCTGTGTGTGTGTGTGTGTGTGTGTAATAATATACATCCACAAATACACAAACATAAGTTTATATTAAAGATAAATATAAATTAAACATAAATAAAGAAATAACCCCTACCGAAATATAAAATTTGAAGCCATTAAAAAAACTGTGTTTGCACATGTTTATACATAGGTGTGAAGCCCTTTGTCCAGAAAATAAAACATTTGGTAACTTAACACATATGTAGGTCTACATATCATAGACAGTTAAACATTTTTTTAAACCTGTGCGTCATTAAGCTGTCAGGATCTGTATCAAAATAAATCTTCTCGACATCATCCATGCCCACTGGCTCATCCATATCTATTGGAAACCATTGTACCTCAAAGGTTCTTATCCCTTCACCTAGCATTATAAAATAAACAATTTTGAGAATAGTAAATGATCTATTAACCAACGACATCTAAAATCAGATTTAATAATAAATTCAAATAATGGACATAGGATGTTACATAAATTAATTTTAAAAAATAATTTTTTTTTAATCAAGTTTAGAGTTTGAACAAATCAAAATTAATTAGGTAATGAGTAGTATTTCATAGGATTTCCCCTTATGTTATACATTAACTGAATTATAATTATCCTCATCAGATTCTTTAGTAACTGAATTATAATTATGTTCATCCAATTCAATAAAAAAAAGGTTTTAATGTGTATACATACTCAGGTATTTGTCAACTGGTACGCATATGGCACAATGCTTAAGACTTCCCAGACAGCTAATCACTGTAGATGATTCTAGTTGAGGAGTCATCTATGTTTTAATAAATAAAATTGATGTATTATCACCATTTTGTTATATAATAATCTAATGTTGTAATTATCCAAACTTATATTTAAAAAATATAATATTATATATAATATGGTACTGAAAACAATTAATTTTTAATCAATGATAAATCTTTCAAGCGAAGAGACATTAAAACAGAACTGAATTACTAATTTAGGAATCTCTCTAGATATATGTGCCAAGGTTGCCAATGGTTCAATGGCTATGTACATTCGGTAAGTGCCTGAGTGCTCTGTGAGTGGAACATTAAAAAAAGGTGATTGGCCTTGACTTCAAAGAACATGTGCCATGTTTTTATCTGCCCCTTTTATTATTGAATTTAATAATCTTTTAATTAATTTTTAATGTTTAATCTAAGATGTAGTGACTAAAATTAGATATTCTTGCATTGTAGTCAGAGATAAATATATCTGGAAAATTTGAATTAAAGTGCTGTGTTAAAAGTGGGTTAAAATTAAGTAACAAGATTGCCACAAACAGACAAACAAGCAAGCAAACAGACACACAAACAAAAATATCATGCTAGCTAGCAAGCTAGCAAAGATACAAAAAAATAAACAAATAAAACAGCAGAAAATAAATTTAGTAACACAAATCACTCACCCTGAATCCGATACTTTTCATTGTCGGGTTGTAGATCAGTAGCCAATAATGATCAAATCTGTTTGATAGGCCAACGGTGGTTGCAGGGCTGTTAATCAAAACAAATTTAAGTATCTATTTACAAAATTAGTAGGTTAAAAATAAGCAATACTACTTGGCATATTTCAGATATGTTAACAATCAATAAAATCATTGCTTTGTATTAAAAGTACACAAATGAAAAATTCACCACTTTACACATTATACGTTTTGCAGCAATTGCCATTGATTGTTTCAAACAGTATTTTTTGTGTACACTATAATAAATTTTAATTTTGTTTTTTAATTGTAATCAAATTTTAAAACAAAGAGAATTTTCTTGAAAAAATAAAATGAGTTACTATTATGTAAGACATTTTCTTGAAACTGCATTTTTAAGTCAAGCTAAGCTCCAGTGGTGTTCTGTTGATTGCAGTAGGCCTATATTTTGGTAGCTTTAAAAACACTTACATTTTTACACAATTATATAATTTGATGCTTAGTTTAGTATTAATTCTGATTTAAGAAACCGTTGACATTTATAACATTTATTATTTGTTACTTGTGTAATGACAATATAATTTTACTTTTATTAAAACCCTACAGTAGTTAAGTTAAAATCACTAGCACAAAAGGTAAAAGAAACTTATTATTAATAGAAACAGACAATAACAATTACAAAAATTAATAAAAATAGTTTACAAAAAATATATAAAAATGCAAGACTGATGCTTATTTTAACACTTCTTCTGGTAATATCCAAACTATTTCACATTAAATTTATATTTGCACTGTTCTTTCTTTACATGGGTTGAGTAGAAATTCAAGTGTATATTACCTAAACCACATGTTTTCATACTTTTTAACATCATATGCTTGTGGAAAATCTAATTGCTAAAACAGAAGAAAAAAATTTGTTTGTATATATTTACATATATATATATACATATTGTAATATAGTGAGACTTGTGAAGTCAAGGGAACTCACTCTTCTTGTATTAGTATTATATTTATACTGTTATCTTGAGTGATGTCCCTTACATGTATACATATCTTTGTCTCTCGTCACTTCCGTATTATCTCGTTATCATCATGTAGTTGAAGGCCAATAAACGTTTTATATACAACCACATGCTTCTATCGTCAATCCATTACACATATATATATATATATAGGTTTATATAATTACTGTAGATCTTTTGCTAACATTGTTTTTTTTACAATAAAAGAAGAGATTGTTTCTACCTCTTCAGTCCCATCAATTTGCCATGGTTCTTTCTCCAAAAGATGAACAGCCTCAAAATAAGAGCCAAAAGCTATGATAGCATGTAAATTGTTTATGTCTTTCAGTTCTTCTGTTCTGTAAATCTTAAAGTTAAATACATGCCATATGAAGTAGTTCAATTTGAAAGTCAGTTTTAAAATCTTAAAATAATTTATTTTAAATTCAAATTATATTTGATTTCTGTACATTTGTTGAACAAAAAGCATCAAATAAATTCCAAAAATCTTGTGAAACAAATTGAAAAATTTAATACCATAGCTCCATTGTGGTAAAACTGTATACATTTCTTCTTAAAGTCAAGCTCACACTTCATAGTGTCCCCTGTCTTACATACGTGTCTTGTCGAGAATTGTTTTTCCTTGAGGTAAATACTGCAAAAAAAATAATAAAATGGGAAAAAAACATTGTTAAACATGTATTAATCAAATTTGTTAAAATAAACAATAAAATATAATTATACTTACTTAAGGAACAAAATAAGATTTAAATTTAAAGACATAATCATCAGATTAGGCCATTAAAAATGGTTTGATCATTAAGAAAAATTCAACCAACAAATTATTATGTTCATCAAAGACTAAATAAATGATACAATAGAATAAAATAAAATATTATGATGCAAAAATAGTTTAAAACCAAATTAAATTTTTAGTCTAAAACAAAAATAATCACTTTATTGAAAAAAAAAGTGAAAAAAAAATGACTACCATCCATCATCGGCATGAAATCCAAATGAGTCTTGTGTATGCCCAGGTAGATCAATTTTAGAAAAATTCTGATTGCAAAGGCCTATGGCAATTACGCTCTTGCTACCCAGGTTTATTATCCCTAAGAAAAAGTGTTTAAGATCAGAAAATAATATGACAACAATTTAAAATAGCACATAATTTAAAAAAAATTTTTTTCTTCTTTTAAAATAGAGATCTATCTACAACAAATTTAGCTAACATAAATATAATGTTTATAAAATTTAGTCATGGTTACATAGCCCAAAATAGTACCTTAAAGATGAAACAATAAAAAGAATAAAAGTAATCAGAGTTTCTATCAAGTATTTGTCTGAGGCTTAAGGGAATAACTTGCTAAACAATTACATTTTTTCCTTCCAAAATTAAGAAAACACATGATACATCAGAAGGTATACCTTTTTAATGCAGTAAACTTACTAATTGAGAAGGATGGGCATTTAGGAGTTAAAGGTCTGGCACTTAAAAACTGACCAAAAGTATTTCTACCATATATGCTGTTAGCTGGGTATGCGGTGTGTCTGTTAGATATTTGAAAAAGCATGTGTAAAATTCCTAAATAAAGATGTAGTTCTTCATTTTAATAATAGTTTTTGTAGCTTAAGTAGTACTTAAACTTAAGAAGAAAAAAAATGTCTGCATAGAAAATTAAAAGTAAGATGAGGGCCTACATGCTTAACTTCAAATTAATTTTTTTAACAGAAATCCTAAAACTTTGATAAATTTCAAGAAATTTAGAATAAGCCAATGTTGTATGAGCCACTTAATTTTTTTTTTAAGGTTGTTTCATTGCAGGATAAAGGATGCATGCATACACATACAGGTTAAACTAATTAAAGTAAAACTATAAACTTAAAATGCTTTATTTAATGTACAGTAAAATGATTAACACAAACTGAAAACTTACAATAATAATCCAAATTCATGACACACAGCCACAAATTGATTCTTACAGGAAAAGTATGCTGGAGTTATAGGATTCTCCATTTCAGAAGTTGATTTTCTAAATTTCTATAGCATGAACAATTAAAAAAATAAAGAAAGAAGATGTTCTATGTTTGTATATAATTAATCCTGTCTTCATTCATGAAATAGGACAGACTTATATTAAATAAAGATTATTTGACTGACACTTTTGTTAGTAAAGGAAATTTTGGTTTTATAGTTATTGTAAAACTTTTAAAAACTAGCCCCTGAAAATCTGTCAAATAAAATAATTGAAAAAAATCACTACAAAAAAAAAAAAATATTATAAGCTAGTATGTAGCTTAAAAATATTAATTTTTTGGCTTTTCAAGTGGACAGATGTTGTGATAAAATAATATGCAATGCAAAAATAGTTATAATGTTTTAAGCTAAAAAAATATGCCAAAGGTAAATCACATTGGGGTATTTTAATGATTATGTACAGATTTATGTAATGGTAATTGACAAACTTATAAGAAACATCAAAACATTTTACCAAAATTTTTTCAAACTTGAACACAACAGTATCACCTCGATTAAAACCTAGTGTTTTGTCGATTTGATTCTGGAAAATTGAATTAAAGTAAAGTGTTAGTTTTATTACCCTTAATTCAATAGACTATGGGACTGGATAGCACAGGATTCAAAACCAAAAATTTGAGTTGAGATTAAAGGCTTGAGTCTGTACGGTTAAAATAAGGCCTACATATTTTCTATATAATTTATGTATTTTTTTCTATTTCATCTGGGATGGGTGGTGGTGGTGATGAGGGGGAGGAGAAGAAGAACACACATCAGAGATGACATAAATAAACTGTTAATTTAATCTCTTATGATATATCTTTACATACTTCTAAGCCAATTTTTATACTCTTACTTATACTTATTATTGGTGTAAAAAACATTAAGATTTAATTAGACTTACACAGTTTTAATCTAATAAGGTTAATTAGTCCCTACAATAAAAAGCTACATTACACACTCAATGACAAATACCCTACCCTAATTTCTCTTAACTATAGTCACATTCTGCAACAGAATATTTTTGTATTGTTCTTATGTTTTAGGCACAGAAATCAGAAATATATTTATAATTGATTCTAAGTAAAACCAGATATTAATTGAAAATGAAACTTTAGTAACAATTCTAAAATAATATGCTTATAACAAAAATTGTTGAGGTTAACATATATTAATTAATAATATCTATACAAAAATGTGAATTTTATACTCACTGATTGATGCCAATAACTCACATCATTCTGAAGTTGATTTTTATAAGTATATTCAAAGGCTTTGAATGGGAATATTTTAATAAGCCTTCTCTTTTGTTGTCTCTGCTTATTAATATCAATATCCCTATAAAATAATGTGTAAATAAATATATAAATATAGCCTAGCTAGATCTACATACCAATAACTATCCACCTATACAAAGATTCAAAGCATTTCTTTTTTATTACATGTGTATTGTTGATTCTAAAAAAAACTATTTAATTTAAAATTAATATATTACATTACCTTTGGTACATGGCATAGGACATAAAGGAAATAAATATTAATGTTACCTTAGAAAAATTAATATTTATTTACATTTTTAGGCACAGTGGTGCCTTAGACCTTCCTAGATTTGTAAACTCAACCTCATCATAAGCTGACAGAAGCAATGGAGTTGTTGGCATTGCTTTCATTTGTTCATAGCTTGTTACCTCTAAATTAGGTCGGAGATATGATTCCACAGCCTGACAAGGATTTTGAAAATGTATCAGAAATTTCTTGCTGTTAGATTTAAAAAATGTCAAATTTTTAAATTTTAAAAGATTGAAAAACATATAGATCTATATCAGAAATACAAATAAATGTTTTTTTTAGTAGCACATACTGTTTTTAAGTTCATTGTTCAATGTTGAAATAATAAACAATAATAAACATGTTCAGATTTTCAATAATAAGACTAACACCATTGATAAATATTTGAATCATCAAAGATTTATTGTGGCATCTGAGGTAACATACCTCATTGTTGGGCGCTCATCTATTATAAACTATCTTCTTAGAAATTTCCAAAGGTTTATATGCACAAAAATATGGATACATGTCTATTGGGACGTCAAAAAAAGAAGTGCAATGTATTGGTTATTGTTATGGTTTTTCATATATTGATATTTAAATATTTTTTTATAGCAATCTCTGTAAATTGTTATTGTAATTTGGAATAAACATGTATGAGAAACTGTATAAATATTCCCCATGTTTTAAAATTAACATTTTGATTAGGCAAGAGGCCAATTAAAATTATTAGTGAGCTAATGTTATATGAAAATGTCATCAGATTTGCTCAATGTGCCACTTAAACCCTTAAATACATAAACAACTCCTTACCCAGGTCATCTCAGCACAATTTTTACAAACACCACAATGTTTACATCCAGTTACATGTGTCTCACAACAACACTTGTGTAGGTTATCTCCTTTGACCCCATTAAATTCACAGTAGAGTCCCTTTTCACAGCAATTTCCACATAAAGTACAAATTGTTTTTCTGCTATGTTCTTCTGAGAGTTCCCATTGGTGGATACAGCCAATAGAGCCATTCACTAACAATTATAGTAAAATATTAATAAACACTTAATGTTACATTAATGTCTAAAAGTAAATAATTTTTAAAAAGCTAGTCATTTCAATAGTAAATTGTAGTTAAAAATTTAAAAAAATCTTTTACCAAGTTTAGAAGGAATTAATTCTTTATAAACAAAACTAATTCCCATTCTTTTTATTATTTCATCTATAACATCAACAAAAATTGAGAATAGAGTGAAAGTGTTTTCTTGAATTTCTAGCATTGATTCTTGGCTCAGCTTGTCAGTATTTTGAGGTTGGAAGCAATGAGATTTAACCTTCAAAACATGATCTGTAAATCAATTTAATACTAATTTTAATTTAAAAAAAAACAACCCCAAAATTAAGCTTTAATTTCATAAATTAAAACGTGGCCCAAAATAGCAGGTTATGGTTATATTTAATAAAAAAATAAAACCAAACTATAACAACATTGAAAAAACTGAATAATGGGCATGCATAATCTGACAACAATTTTTGAAAATTGAGCTTAACTTATTCTTGTAAACAAAGATTCAATTGTCTAATTGAAATGTGCGAGTTACTTATTAAATAAATTTATATCTAATATTTTTACCTCCTTTAGTATAAAATATTGTTTGAATATCTCCATTCTGAAAAACACACCATTCTTGTCCAATCACTATGGCTTTTGAAAAAGTCAAAAATCTTGATACACATATTGAAAACATGTGCTTGGCTGATGTATGAAGCAAATGGTATTTCCTTTCAAGTTCTGTGGCATTTGTATTAGCTGATTGTATGAAGTCAGACTACAATCAAACAAATAGAAATAAAAGGTTTAGGATTATTATAAAGTAATGACAATGGAAAAGTATTTTTACCAGTGAATTTCTGCAACTAAATTGTAGCCTATTAGAAATAAAGTTTTAAAACTCAATAAAGAAGTATTTACAGGCTTTTTAAAAAACAAACACAAGATTATGATATTAAGGAAGAAGATTTTTAATTAAACTTTGACTTACAAGCTGCAAGGCCTGTTGATCAATCTGCATACAATAGCAAAAAACTGGGTCATCTCTGCTTGATCGAAGACACGGAATCCGTTTGATACCAATAATGGACAACACTTTAATTATAGTCTCCATCTGAAAGAAATATTTGCATTGCATTTAATAGCTCGCATTTACATTCAAGCATTTCTAGACTTTTATGTACATTTTAAACTCATTGTCATGTGTTTAAACATTTTTAACCGGCTAAATAGAAATATGGTTTAAAAGGAATGGAACTCCCACCTTGCTTATTTTAAATTCATTTTTAGAGACAACTTTCATTTAATGCTAGCTGAGGGCATGTGCACTATGTAGCCTTCTCACCAACTAATATTATAAAAAAATACAAATAATCTTACTTTTAATGAGGAAAAAACTCACTTGTGAAAAAGAGAGATTTTTTGTGTTTGGAATAATGTCTGTCAAATTATTCAAAATGTTTGTCTTTTCACCAATGCATTGTGCTTGTTTGCCTGACAATGCACTTGGCAAATTCTTGAATTTTCCTTCTAGTTGCAAGAGAAATTCCCTATCAACTGCAACTTTTGCTTCATTCATTGTAAAACACAAAATCTGACCCTGTAATTAAAAAAAAAGTACAAAATTATGTTATTATACATTACTTTAAAAATTTAAAACAAAATTAATTGTCAATTTTAATATTAATGTAGATAAAAAAAAACTGTAATTAAAACTAAAATGGGCAAAAAAAAAACAACCCAACCATTTTTGTAAACTTCTTGACACAACCAATGTTATTTACCTTATTCTTAAGATAACCAATTTTAATTACCTTATTCTTAAGATAACTAACAGCAGCTTCACAAATATGAGTATTGGTCCCAAACGCATTAGGTTCAGCTTTTAACAGGTGATCTATAAACATAATATTTTCTTTCTTCAAAACTTCTCTAATCTTATGTAGCCCTTCAGCAACTTTTTCACTCAGACTATAGAATTGTCTATGATAGGTTAGGTCAGCCTCACACACATCAATAATATGTTTGCACAGCTCTTCATGACCCTGAAGTTTATTTGAATAAATAAAAAAAATGTTAAAATAATGCAGCTTAAGTACATGAACCAAAGAAATGAGAGATTTATAACCAGCCTAGTCTGGTGTGTTTTGGTGTTATGTATATTTTTATATCGTACCTTGCCTGATGAAAGATTGACAGTCTTTAAAGTAACTCTTAGATTCTTTAGAAACCTTTCAAGGCATTCTTTTTGCCAACAAAGATTACTATAGAGTTCTTGCTTTTGGAAATCCATTGATTTCAGTTCACTGAATATGTAGAAAATATAAATCATGTTCAAAATGTTTGTGACAATTAAACTATAATACATTTTAAAATTATGAATTTTTCATAATTTTACCTTTCATACTGATGGATGTATTGTGTTATCAATTCTATGATTGAAAACTGAATTCCTTCACTTAAAGTTTTCTCTATCAAATGAAGCTTTTCATTCAGGTTGCCATCATTTTCTTCCAGCCCAACTAATGTAAATCTGCAACCTTCTATAAAGTTTGCAACATCTTTTGGTGGTATTGATGCTACCTACAAGTTGAAAAGTATAAATCTTTAGGAAGATGTATAGCTTAATTAAAAAAAGCAAAACATTTTAAATTCAGCACCATGTTACGCTTAAATTGTTTTTGATTTTACTATAGTCATGGAAATCAAACATTTTAATAGTTTTTTTTTTAAACACTGACATAATTTATACATGTTTTGTAATTTCATATTATTTTTGATATATGACTATATATTAAAGTATTCTACCACAATATTTGTCCATTTAAAAAACAATTAACAATTTTTTTGTGATACAAACTTTAAAGTTTTTTGAAACAAAATGATAATTAAAAAATGGAATGAACAATTGGAAGTGTTTAGGGTTGTTGAAAGCCATCAATAAGAACTGACAACTAAAATAAATCTACACCACTAACATTGGGAAACCTGATTATGTGAAAAATGTCTCAGATTTATTTAAAATTCTTTATCAAATACATAGGCTACAATACCAGAATATTATTGACTCAGAAACACAGAAAAACCATCTGAAATTATGATAAAATGTAATCTTTTTGATGGCATGCAGAAATGAGACATTTTTCAAACTAATCCTGTTCATGAATAATACAATTAGCAGACTCCTTGCACTTTTCCTAATATTACTTATAGATTTTTTTTGGATATATAATGGGAAACAATTCTTTTATTTCAAATCCAAATTTATAATGAATCACTTTTCCAAAAGATATTTCAATGTACCTAATCTTGATGAAATTAATAAATCTTGCTGTAGTGATAAAATTAAGTAATGCACACATATTAAAATAGACCAAAAATGCAATCATTATAATTGTTTTTTTTTTAAACTAAAATCTCAGGTAGGCATAAAATTAAAGTTTAAACAGAAGCATTTTTAAAATGTTTAACTATTTTTAAAATTAAAATTTATTAAACTAGAAAATACTATAGTAAATTATTTTGTTAAATGTACATAATTTGTTATCTAGGAAATAGCCTACATTTAATAAAAAAATTACAAAATAGCAGATTAACTAAATATTATTAACTTTTGTTTATTTTTTAAGGATTTTTATATGAACACAAAAAAAACCACAAGTACATAAAAATATACGCTTTAGTGTAAGTACATAGTTTTAATGAATGTGTGTATTAACATAATCACCTTTTTGGTAGCTTTATTCTCTGAATCTTGAAAGTAATTGTGTAAAATAACCCCATTCCCTCCAGGGTAAACATTCACTGCTGGATAAATTCCATTTGATTTGTATTCAAAATCAACTTCTTGCACCTGAGAAATTTAAAAAACAGACATGATTGTTTTTTTTAAAAATATATTCTAAATAGTTAAGGAAAATTATTAATTAGAAAATAATTTTTAATATTTACACAACCATAGTTGATAGTTGTGCTGCTATAATTTTAAAATCTTTTTTATCTTACTGTACTCGACCAATTTATTAGTCATGATACTAAAGTAAGTAAGTAAGCAGTTCCCTTTTGAACCTGACAGTTCTTAGGGCAGGTGAATTAGAGTTCACCTGTTTCTGTGACCTCGACATACGAAGAGACAGTGTGGGCAGCAGTATGCCCAGCAGCCTTTACTTTCACTATCGTGAGCTGGATGGACTGAGGGACTTTGTACATACTTGAACCCAGATTTGAAATTTGAGACTTTCAGGTTAGCAATTGTATGTTCTACCATTTGACTACTCCTTCCCAGAAATATTAAAATTTAGGCTATATTCACAGTTTTTTTTTAACTAACATGGCTGTCATAACATTGCACTGGATCTTGCTTTAGCAATAATTGTAACCCTCAACTTAAAACTAAAACTAGGTTCTAGTCCTGGCTTATTACTGGTCCTAGTTCTTGTAAACTGGCCAGACATTGTTAAACACATAGAAGTTAGCTGAATCAGAAGTAGATTTTATTTTTAAAAGTGGTGGTGGATAAGGAGCACAACCAGAAAGGTCCAAAAAAACATCACAAGCCAAACACTGGATTGGAACTCACACCGAAAAAACAAGGGGTTTATGCCAGAAATGTCCTGTGTAAGATGTTTTAAGCCCAAAATGGGAGATGCTAGATTGACATGACCAGATAGGAAATAAAAATATTCCTTAAGGAACCAAAAAGAATAATTATAAGAAACCCTAATTATGATCCTCAACCTTGGGCAATGCCAGCATGAAAAATAAATAGTTACAACACATTAATACTGTCTCGTTGGCATTTTAATAGAAGCAAACAGGGATTTTTAAAAATTATTAAGTATTGTCTCGTTACAAATTCAATTACTTTTCCTTATAGAAGTTTAATATTTTTTTGCTAGTTTATGGTAATAAAAAATAAAAAATATTAAGAAAACAATAGCAAGTTTTAGTTAGTTGTTCATAAAAAAAAATTATACTTTGATATTGTTCTTTGTAAAGTAAAATTGAAGAGTTTGTTCATTCTCAAGCAATCCATTTTCTCTGAACTTTGCCCTCTCTACATTCAGACCACAGCCAACTGTGTCTCCTGCTTTAAAAGCTGTCAGGGTTGTGTCTTCATCAAAATTGACTGAACTCAAGTCTTTTGAAATTCTAAAATAAATAAAGATTAATTTAAATGAAACAAAACATAAAAAAAACCTGCAGAATTTATTTTTAAAAAATATTGCATTTAAATACTTCTTGTCTAAGTCAATAAAATAACATGATTCATTTTTATAAAAACTTTTTTATTTTTCATTTTTAATTAACAATTTTTAACAATAATACCCTAAACTGAATCTAGTATTGAAGAACAATCCACCTATATAGTTATATTATTATACTAGATCTAGGTAATAGTTTTGGGTCAACAATATATAAAATTTCAGCTCTATTGTAAATGTTGTTGACCAGAAATAAATGTAACATGAAAATGTGCAATGATTGATTGCAAAAAAGAAACAAAATTAAGAAATACAAACTTACACCTTTATAGTTTTATATGGTAATATTTCATGGCAAGATATTTTATTATACTATACTTTACATGTGGTCATTGTTTGCTAACGTCTTTGAAATATCAATTTTTAAAAATATCCTTTGCACACTTTTTGTACACAATAATCTGTTACACTTTTTTTCTGGGAATCGTTAATGTTGTGGATTTAATGCTAACGCCTTGCAATATACTACATATACAAAGATGGAAACAAATTAGCAAAATAGTGTTAATCTTGGCTTATAAATACTGCTTATTTATGGTTTCACCTGTTATAAGGTTGGGTCTAAACTTTACATTAGGTATTAGCATTGATATTCTTGATTATGATGACAGCAAAATTATAGAAATTATCAGCCAAATTTGTAATTGTACACATTTAACTTAGATTTACAATTTTAAAAGAAGGCCTGTTATTGAGTAGGCATATATCAATTAGAGATAACGCTTTCAACATTTTAAAATAAACTTAAATATACTACAACTTACCTTCCATTATAAAAGTATCCAACTGAGTTTGGATTATTTCCAAGAGTATTGTCCACTGGATAATCAAAATCAGCAAACCCAATCACAGCTGCACTGTCTGTTACTTGCATTTCAAAGTATGTTAAGTCTTTGTTAAATGGGGTGTTTGAGATGAACAATCCATGACATGCCATTGCACTTTCTCTAAAAAAATTTTTTTGAAATAGTTTTAATCAAATTAACTTTAAATAACAAGTAGTCAGAAATAATACAAGTTAAACCTATATATATATATATATATATATATATATATATATATATATATATATATATATATATATATATATATATATATTTATGCATACATATATGTTTATGCATATGTATACATAGATGTATATATATACACATAGATGTATATTTAGGCATATGTATATAAGCATACATATGTATGTATATAGGCTAATTAAGGTATATATGAATCAGATGAACTCTACTTCATCTGCCCCATGTGTCTAGGGCACTAATGGGATTAAGAAGAAGATATATATGTATATCTGTTTATATGCATATATGTATATAGGTATGTACATATGTATGTATGTATGTATGTATGTATGTATGTATGTATGTATGTATGTATGTATGTATGTATGTATGTATGTATGTATGTATGTATGTATGTATGTATGTATGTATGTATGTATGTATGTATGTATGTATGTATGTATGTATGTATGTATGTATGTATGTATGTATGTATGTATGTATGTATATATATATATATATATATATATATATATATATATATATATATATATATATTTATATATGTATTTATATGTATATACATATATGTATATATTATGTATACATATAAGTTTATGCATATGTATACATAGATATATATATATATATATATATATATAAAGGCCTACCTAAATGTCAATCTTCCATCATCATATATATTTAGGAATTCTGATCTTCCCATTGTTAACTTATCATAATGACCAACCTATATTGAATAGTTTATTACAAGTTATAGTGGGATATTTAAAAAAAAACATTTTGAAATTATTTTGAAAAAGCCTACAGTGATATTTAAAATAATCTCAATAATCAAACATTATGTAATAAACAGGCATTGGATGGTTGCATATAGTTTTTGTGTACTCTATAGGCTTCATGTTTTTTTTATTTTTATTGACAAAAAGTAGTTATGAGGTAAAACATTTACTTTTGCCATTAATCTGAGGTTTTATATTTTCTTCATTAAACACAATCAGTGCTTACAGGAATGAATAATACTCGATCCTCTTCCATAATAGTTATATCAAGTTACTTGGTTAGTGCAAAATAAAAAAGGTCATGAAAGATGTGTTTATAATTTTTTTGTTAACAATGTTGTCAACCACTCTGACTCTGATCTATTTTCTATAGTGTGCCTTTCTAATCAAACAAAAACACAATTATTCAAAGCTTTTTTATTAGCTATTTTTATTCTATTCTCTAGAGTGGCTGACTGTCATGTCAATAAAAGTAATATGTCCAAACTCCATTTTGAGTACATCTGCACAAAACCAAATGTGTAGTCATTTCGAAATTTATTTTCTCTTTGTTGGTTTTGAAAGACAATCATAACATATTTATTTTTCAAAAATTAGGAGCATAAACAGTAATGGTATTCATATTTATCATGTCAGTATGAAACACAGCATCACCCCTTCAAAATATTGAGAAAATGTTAAATTATCTGTTTTCAAATAGTCTAATCTCTTGCATATATTTCATACACATCCTTAGGCTACAGACATTGTTATCTTAGAACAATCTATGAAGCGTATCCTCTTAAGTTGTTAGAAAGGCCAACTTTCCCCCCATTATAATCTCCTAAATACAGGAACATCCCACCATTACCACATTACAACCCATCCCTTGACCCTGAATCTTTAATTCTTCACCAACTTGCATTCCCTATGTCCACCTTTTGCACACAACGAATTATAAAGAACTGACTTTGTATTTATTTTAATACAGGAAAGCATTAATGCAAATAGTGTTTCCATTGCAAAATCTTGCGCCTAGGTCTACATACCATTTGTTTGAATTATTGTGGTATCTCACTTACAGGAGCACTGAATGGGGCTTGCCAGTTCTTTAATTGAAATTCACTTTCTATTTTCATCCAAACCATGAAAACAATGCGAATGCCAGGCATAATGCCTTCGATTTTTGTCTTAACTGTAGAGATCTACAACAACAAAAAACAAAAATGTACAAAATGATGAACAAAATTAAATTTAAAAGATTCAACTTAAAAGTGCTAAAAAGCAATTATATAGCTTTGTAAAAAAAAAAAACAGAATCGCAACAAATGTAGCTAGATCTACTAGCTTGTTACTTGATATAGTTTGTCCATACCAGAATTTCATCCAGAAAGAAACTGACTTCAACTTCATCCCCATTCTGAATGGATTCTGCTTGTCCAGAAAATTTAACTTGGACAGTGATCACTTTTCCTTCTTTTATATCTGCTTTTCTATGATAAACTTCACTAGCTGTGTTCCTACCAGACTCATTTTGAATGTAAGCACTGAAAAAATTAAAACTTTTTAGTCACATGAGCTTTTCAGAAATATATATTCTTTTTAATGATAAAATATTGTTATATCACATCTTTATATTATGATTTAAGAATAAAATGTTATCAGTAAATAATAAAACTGATTTTTTTTTTTACAAAGCCTTTTGCTTTTCTTTTCAACCAAAGTAGAATTGTATGGTTTTAAAGCATTTTAATTATAGGCATCTCTATACAGGTTACACATTTCAATGTTGCTTTTCTTTTCAACCAAAGTAGAATTGTATGGTTTCAAAGCATTTTAATTATAGGCATCTCTATACAGGTTACACATTTCAATGTTGCTTTTCTTTTCAACAAAAGTAGAATTGTATGGTTTCAAAGTATTTTAATTATAGGCATCTCTATACAGGTTACACATTTCAATGTTCTAAGTTATATTAAATATATAGTATAGCTCAAGTAGGTCATAATAGTAACTTTTTTTCCTATAAAAATGTCAAGCTTACTTCCTTATATTATTTAATCTACTTAAAACTTTCTGGAAACATAAATGTATTAATTTTGTATCATCAATTTTTAATAATCAATTTGCTTTTTAAATTTAAAACATGTGATTCCAAGATACATATTAAGTAATACATATGTGAATAAAAAATGTCTACAATATGAATGAAAAGTAGGCTAACAACATTAGTTTTGTTTTATTCAAAAACTAATTAAGAAATATTAAAATAAATGAGTTAAATTTTCACAAAATCTGAACATTGTGATTCACTGCTTATGTTTCAATGCATGATTTAGATTTTTATTTTTACAGTTATTTGAATAAAAATGTTCTTACTGTCCATCTCCACAATTAAGTTCAATGGCAAATTTTTCCTGGTTTGGATAATTATATAAGCAATATGTTTCTGGTGCTATACCCATGCAGATGTTTTTGGGATTTTTCTTCAGACAAATTGAAAATATGTTATGATTTCTTGTTATTTCTTGACTGCATAACATGATTCCTGATCTAACAACAGTATGAACATAATTACCGAATCTGAAAGCAAAAATTAAAAATATATGGGATTCTAAAAAAATTGAAATGGGAAATAATCTATTTGATGGTAACATGTTAAATTAAAATATAAATCAAACAAATACTAATAGAAGAAAAACATCTGTTTTTGTGTACTTTTTAAGTTTATTTTTTTAATGTCCAAACCTAACAATGCCAGCATCATTACAAATCATGTTATGAAGCATTCCTGGTGTCAAGACAGCATTGTTATCGTTTACATCAGTCTGTATAGAAATAAACATTCTCATTCAATTAGGTAATTATAGCTTGATTCACACTTATACTTCTTAATCTAGGCTTCTTATTTTATTATGAAATAAAGGTAAACACTTTCACTTTAAGCCTTTTTAAAAAACTAACCAATATTTAATTAATTTTTAGATGTTTAACCTAGTTTTGGAAGATTTAGGGAGATATTTTATTCTATTTAAGATCTAAAGCCTTTTCAATACTATTGCTATGTTTGGCACATGAAAGTAAGTATTAAACAGGAAAAAAAGGATTGAAAACAATTTTGGTTGTAATGGAAACCCAAAAAAACCCTCCACCATTTTGAATTTTTTGTACTTTTAAAAATGCTAATGCTTTTTTATTTATGCACTTATAGCAATCAAATTTAAACTGCTTATTTTTCAGTATATTTTAAAACTTTTGTCATGACAATTTTTTGAAATAGCCTCTAGTAAGAATTTAGTATCCAAAATTTTAAAAATGTGCATATTAATTACCAAATACTTTTTTTCTATGAAAGCCATCACAATTCCCCCATGAAAGAAAATGTATTTTTGCATGAAGAACAATTACTGAAAATATGGTGGGCATTGTTTAATAAATAAAAAGTAGTAGGCTTTTTAGTGTTAAAAACCTGCAAACTTAGAAAAACAGCAAAAAGTAATTAAGCTAAATTTCTTTACATAAATTTATGTTTTTACCACAAAATGTAAATCCATGTTTAAAAGCTTGATTTCCCCACTGGTACAAATGAAAGGATACATTCCTGGCTGAGGATTTCTTTTTAATATATTAACGACACTTGGTTTTGCCTGTAAGTTTTAATATGTTTTTATGTCAATCGCTTTTGTAAAGCAGATGAAAAATAATAATCACATTTAAGATAATTTAATTATAGAAATTTGCATTGGTTTTGGGTCATCGTTAAATTACATCACACTCTTTGGGAAGTCAGCTCTGATGGGTACCTAACTCACATTAGGGAAAGTAAAGGCGGCTGGGCATGGATAAATTGTTTTGTTAATTTATTGGGCGGATCTCACTTTTTGTGAAGATGTGTGAAAATGGGGAAGGGTAGGTCAAAAGTCAACAAAAGAAACATGACATTATTTATGGAAGACCCCTTGGATTAATTAATAGGCTTAAAAAGTAAATGATTACAGTATTTAAAATTAACCTTTTCTTGGTTCAATAATTTCCCATTTTTAGTAACATAGTAGCAACAATCATCATCTGGTATGTACTCTGATATCCAATTCCCAGAAACACCAAATCCATAAATGGCATCTTTTTCCAGTTTTAGACTGGTGAAGGAAGAAATTTGTAAAAAATTATTTGGAAATCTAAAGTTGTGCACAATATTAACATTCAATAAACTTAAATTTTGCTCACATATCGACTGCCAATTCATTCGTCTTCATAGATATTAGTGGAATTCGTATATGAACTTGTTGGTCATTAAGAACTCCAATCATTAACCAGGTATTTTCTTGGCTTGAAGTACATTGTATTTCATAATAGCTGTTGGTACGACTTAGACTTTTATGAAATAACACAGAGCCCATGTCAGTTTCTAAATCTGGTGATAGTCTTTTCTTATTCAGTGGATTGTTGCTTGAAGTGGGTCTTTAATTATAAAAAATTAGTAAAAAGCATTAAATTTGTGTTTATAGTATATATACATATATATGTATATATGTATATATATATATATATATATATATATATATATATATATATATATATATATATATATATATATATATATATATATATATATATACATATATATATATATATATATATATATATATATATATATATATATATATATATATATATATATATATATATATATATATAGTTTAATTTTGTCTTGCAAGACAAATATTTAAAATATTTAAAAAATAATTAGTAGTATAGGCTAATATAATAGGATGTAGTTGTTTGTTTTTGATCTCTTTAGATATTATATTTTTATATTTAACATTTACAATTTGTATTCAAAAGAGAGATATGTTTGTACAAGATCCACATATATGTAGAAATCCTAGTTTTTATAGGCCCCAAGGATTCCTAATGCATTGGCTGGTGTATTCACACATATCAGATCAAGAGAGTATTAAAAAAAATAATAACACATTTTCTTTACCTAAAAATGCCATCCTTCTTTATAAAACCTTTGTACAGGGTATGCTTTTGAAACACATATCTGGATTCAAGTTTATTAACTTCAACATTATGAGCTGGATTAGGTTTCTCCTTGTGATATATAATAAACAAAAGCATTAATTTTTTGGTTAGCCTAGTAAATATAGTTTTAATTATTAATTGTTTTACTACCTAGTATAAAGCTTTGTTATCATTACTATCAAAATAATTTTTGTATCTAATTCAAAAAAATTATGGGATTAAACTTGTGTGTGCTCTAGCATCTGACCATGCCATCCTGTATGTTTAACTACATATTAATACTAATAGTTTCGCTGTCTGTCTATCTGACAAGAACGCTCTAGAGAAAACACATGCAAATTAAAAACATGCATAGTAATTCGAAAAACGAAATATATGACGTCACATTGAGCATAGAGTAGAAAATAATATCAAGCCAGAGAGTGCACACAGTAATATGACGTCATTGATTCTCGAGTAAACATTGAATAAAAAGGAAATTTTGTCTAATCTAAGTGGTTTGTGTGAAGAGTCTTTCATACAATTCTTCAGGTAGGGGCGAAGCCCCACCCCCGCATAAGAACGTCTGAGCCCCCCCCCCTCCCTAACTCAAAAGAAATTTCTTCATCGATACTCTATAATAAAATTACCGCCTAATTAATGTGTCTAATCTAAAAAGTGGTTTTCTTGCAATTTCTTTAATGCAATTCTTCGGGTAGTGGGTAAGCGTGACACCAGTGTTTCTTTCAGACTTTTTCCTCCCCAGAGAGGGGTGGGGGTACTTGAAATTTTCGGGGGCGGGGGTAGAATTTTCGGGGAAGGGGCGGACACTGGAAAAAGTATATAATTATATTTCGTTGAATGGGACGGTAGACATGTTTTTTTTTGGGGGGGGGGGGGGGTTGGGGGTGTGTGTGGGGGGGGGGGGGGGGCGGGGTGGGGTGGTTTTAGTTTAGAGAAAAGAGACAGCACTATCAGCCTAGCGCCCGTTGTATCCTTCCTCAACGGGCCATTTTTCTCGTTTATGAATAAGGGTAGTGTTATATATTAAACTTATTTTAACAGTAATCATATTTTCCCCTTATAGTTTCATTTATGTCATACATGTATCATAAAAGCTTAAATTAATTTTAGCTTAATTCTTACCTTGCTTAGAATATGAGCAATGATATTAATGAATTGTTCTTTTAGTTCACTCATACTGCTTTTGGCATCAAATGGAATGATGACATGAACTGGATTCATTGGTGAAATGCTTTCAAATAGAACCTAATTTTTTTTGTAAATATTAAATTTTAAAAAGTATGTTTTTTTTTAAATATTTAAAACAGTAAACAGTAAGTTATCTTTCAATGTTAAACTGATAATTTTAATGTTTTGTATTTTATAAATTTGTTACTTTAAAAAAAAATTACATGATCTTTTTCAATTTCTGTAACATTAATCTCCCAATCAGCAAGCTGTATGCTTTGTATATCATGAATAGCTTCCCTTTCTTTTTGAGCATTTGATTTGATATATTCTGCTAAACTCCATTTGGTTCCAACAGGAACTATTAGCAAGAAAGCTGTTTTCTGTATTTTTGTCTGCATGCCTGTTTAAAAAAGTTAGAACATTTTTCCTTTCAATACTAATAAAATAGCTAACATTTGTGTTTTTTTAACTACACACAAAAAAAGTTTTATATCAGTTTAAAAAGATGTATATATTTTAAAATTAAATTGCACTAGATCATGATGTTTATTTTTGTAATATGCATTTTTTCAACTTATAATATCTTAATAAAATGATAACATAAGCATAGGGTTTGATCAGGTTTACAGGCTTTAAATGGTTGCACCAAGTACAAAAAAATAGCTCCAGGTTCCTGATATATATATATATATATATATATATATATATATATATATATATATATATATATATATATATATATATATATATATATATATATATATATATACATACATTATATATACATACATTATATATGCAGATTATTATTTATACTGATATATATAGACAACATATAATATTTATATTATTATTTATGCCGATATATATAGACATAATTCTATGAACATATGTGAGTGTGTGTGTTTAATTGACAATGTACTGCTATCCTAAACTGTTTTGATAAAATAAATAATTTTGGAATCTATGTGAATGCTCTTAGTTATATTTGTTCTTAAACAATTGTATTTTACTTAATGGTAAAAACCACACCTTTTGAAAATCTTTAAATATACAGGCAAGCAAAAAAAAAAGGCAGTCTAAAGAAAACATTGAAAGACAGGAGAGTAGATGGGTTTAACACCCTGTGAATACACCTTTAATATGTACCACATTTCTATCATTATAGACAATGTTTAAACAATTTTGTCTAATTTAAATTTATATGAAAAGCATAAGATGATTACTATTATATTATTTAATTGATAGTAAAAATAGCAAAGAACAAACCTGTTTGATCAATGAGCAGTGGACATCCAATAGTTGAAGCAAAATCTTTGAGATGTGCAACAGATGTGCACATTGCCTCAACGTGTCTTTCACCTGGTGCATTAAACAATGTGGCAAGACCTCCATCAGTGACTCTGGTACAGCCATTTATGTTTATCTTGTAAAGATTAAAACAAGGTTTATATACAAATTTTTTTTACTCAAAATAAATATAGGCAAGTCAAGAAATATAGTTGTATAAAAAATGAGAAGCTATATATATATATATATATATATATATATATATATATATATATATATATATATATATATATATATATATATATATATATATATATATATATATATATATATATAATGTTGTAAATGTATTCCATTCAATTCCTCTTTATTACACATAATACATTTTAGAGTTCAAATTTTCAAATATATACTTAAAAGTTTTAAAAGTATAATACAACATTTAAATGAGTCTGACTAAACATACATCAACTGTGTTTTTGTTTAAAGTTAAGCTCTGAGCTAGCCAGTGTAATCCCACATCTGTTAACATGCTGCAACCTTCCAATGTAATTTTATTCACATGTGAAAAAAACATCTGAAAATCATAACATAGTTATAAAAATTGTATCATTTTAATTTATCCATATTTATTTTAATTTTAAATCATTATGTCCTTTTTATTTGATGTATTCAAGAGTGTGCTATATTGTTACATAATACAAGCAATTTTAAAAAGTAAAAAAAAAAAATTAAGCGCTTCTTTTTTCAATTACTACAAAATATTTAAATAAATAAATCGTGTATTAACAGAAAATCACATACAGTAGTTTAATGGCTACAACTTTTACTGATGACACAAGTATATAAATCTTTAAGCTACATTTATGTTTTTTTAATTTATGAAGTTAAAAACTTATTAAAGCATTCAGTATTACTGTCAGTAGAAAACAGAACACTTAAAACACAACCTTTTTAGCACAAATATATCTCTTTAAAATAATGTTTTTTTTTATATCTATAAGGATATACACATTCACATACACAAGTATATAAACATATGCATACACTAAACATATATACATATAGAGAGATTGATATATAGATATGTAATATGAATGTATGTGTTACGTTCTGGGTTCGTTTCAAATCATCAACAACACTTCGTGTATAACTTCACTCCTTTTATTTGTCTCAATGCATTCAAGCGTACCATAACAGCCCTCGTCCTAACCGCTACTAACCCGCTGACTGCCCCCCACAATCGTTCACTCCCCCTTTTATACCCGCATTCGACCTTGGGATTACAAGACATAAACACACAAGGGTAACTACACAGTAAGGTGAACTCCACTCACACAGGCACTCTCCCCTAGTTCTAGACTATTCTAACCTATTCTAAACTAACCTACAACTGGCCCGTAACACTACCCCCCCACCTAAGTATTTGTAGTAATAACTACAAATACTGACTAACAAATCCTAGCTAAATAGAAAACACAAAGCCTTTCATACACATACACTAGTAGACAAGTTAAAAATATACATTCCGAAGAATGTATATGACAGATTGTATATACAATGAAATACATAATGACAACATACAGAACTGCTACAATTTCGAGCTAGCACAAATCATCCGTGTAACTAACAAACAAAAAAAAAAAAATCACACACACCCAGTTGCATCGTACCGAATCTAAGAACTTTCCAGACCACAATTTTTTTGAGTCTACCCTGTGCGCTCTCTGGCTGCACTGGTTTATGACTCCTACCCATATCTCAAACATTCTACATCACAAAAAAAATTTGAGTCAACCTGCGCTCTATGGCTACACTGGTTTACGACTCCTACCCATATCTCAACCATTCTACATCACAAAAAAATTTGAGTCAACCTGCGCTCTATGGCTACACTGGTTTATGACTCCTACCCATATCTCAACCATTCTACATCACACAAAAAATGTGA